GGTTATGTCAAGGTACGTCTCTTGTGAATATCAATTGATTGTTAAGTTTTCTCTTCTGAAATTACATTATGACGCATTCACATACATTATTAATACAAATACATTTTCCAGGGCGGGACGATGAGGCAACCACAAGCACTTCCACTGGTTCAAGAGGGAAAAATGCGCAATATTACCGTGATTACAGAGCACGGAGCAGGAAAAAGAGTCGTTGAATAGAACTAGTGATCCTTCTACGACTGCTGATTCTTCTACAATTAATGTCACAGGTTGCGAAGTTTAACTTCTTCCTCGCGGAGGGACTCCCCGCACTATTTTTTATTTTATTTATTAAGTTTTTTGGTGATTTTACATTTATAAATTCATTCCCGAACACATTTCAAAGGTTCAACTCAACCAAATTAAGTTTAATTATACACAGTGTTATTTATCTCCCGGTACCAATTTATGAAAGTTCTGCCAATTTATGATAATCAAGATTTTTTTTTTCACTTCCTCGCCATTTTTACCATGAAGTGGTACATTGTCCACTACTTTGAGACCTTTTTCGTATCTTATTGAATTTACATGACTTATGTATATCGAAAACTGATTTAAGAGCGTTATTATAAACAATTACTTACACGTAGCTTCAAATAGTTTTCAAAATATATCGCTCATTCTGACAACGATCGGGTTTCTCATATGTTTTATTTTCTTGGCCTTTTATCATCAAGTCCAAGGTTTTGAAAACTTTGGATTGTATCCGTTTTCGACATTCTCATTAGATATAAAATTTCCCTTTGTCTTTGCATATGTAGGGTAAGAATGGAAGAACTTTTGTTAATCATTATAAAGACCTCATTCAACTATCATACACAGGTTAGACCTCAATCAACTATCATACACATGTTTAGATATACACTATTCGGCCAAAAGTAACCAGACACCCAGTGGTATGGACATAGCGTCCTGATGCACTCATTAATATGATGTTGGTCCCCCTTTAGCATGCACACGTTGGGGAAGACTTTCCACCAGTTTTGGACAGGTGGCCATAGGAATTGGCTTCCATATCGCAGCTGAAGTGAGTGTTTGCAGTGTGGAGGGTCGATTTGGTCGGCTACGTAATCAGCGCTCTGATTCGTCCCAAAGATTGTAGGGAGTGAGTTGTTATCGACAATGTCTATGCAAAGATACCCCAACATAGAATCAAGTTAACATGTCTTATATACATGTCTTATAGAACTGGAATTGCATTTTTGTAGTGGTAGGTGCACTTCAGTACTCCCCCAGCAGAATTTTATCTGCGATAGAGTTAGATGAACGGATACCACTAGTTAATTCATTGCTGCTTTCTGAGAACCAGGGAGAGCTGTATTTTCCTTTTGAGTGCTTATCGTGAGAGCTGCATTAAGTTCACGGTCGTTGTCGTTCCTATGTTACCATTAGCAGTCGAGTGAATACAGGCCGACGATGTGTGTGGTCGAGACTGAGTAGCAACAACGCGAGGAGGTGGATAATGTTGCAGTCACAAGAAGCAAAGTCAACTGTTCAATGTGGACCATCCAATCTTAGTAGATGTGTTCAAATCGAAATGGGAGTTTCTGTCAGGGTAGGCGTGTTCACATCGCGTTAGAAGGTCACCAATGTGGGGCGAGTTGTTTTCGACAATGTCAACCTTCATCTATGTAAAGGTATCCCAACATAGAATCGAGTGTCTTATATGCTAGTGAATTGGAATTGTATTTTTGTAGTGGTAGATACACTACAAAGATGTTCTATGGGATTTAGATCGGGGCTCTGAGAAGGCCAGTTCAGTTTTTGAGCACACATTTCGTCTTATCACGTCTGTGCAAACCTCGATGTGTGAACGGAGTAGTTTGTCCTGCTAAAAGGCAAATGAGCCTTCTCCAAAATACTGCCATGGAGTTTGGAGTGCAGCATTGTCCAGAATGTCCACATTTATCTCAGAGTTCATGTTTTCAACCACATGAACTAACGGACCTAGAACAAGCCACGAGAAACACCCCCACACCATTATGATACCACCACCATAACAACCGGGTGATCGGATACTTTTGGTCAGATAGTGTATGCTTGAATCAATATTTAACGTAAAATATAAAACTTTAGAGGTAGGTGAAAATATTTGCATTCAATGTGTAGGAAACTGGCCACTAGATGGCGCACAAAACTTTCTTTTAAGTTTCTTTCTTTTTTTTCCTGAAGAGAAGTCGCAGTCAAGATTAAAAATGGATGGCGGTTTTCGATAAATGTTATGTCTTCGTTAATATTTGTCTGTGATGTTTCAATAATGTCTGTGATGTGCATCTATAGCTTTTGAATAAATTATTTAAGATGCAGGCGACTCGTCTTTGTGTGAAAATTTAAAAGTCTTTACAAACCCTCAGTTATTTATTCCATGTCGCAATCTATCGATATATATATATATCGATATTCTATAATTAAATAGGTCAAGTTTAATCCAGTATGTTAAATAATGTTTAATAATTATTTATTATTTGAAATAAATTTATTTAATAATGGTCTAAGAACTTTGAACTGTAAGAAATACAAATTAAATAAGGTAATTTTATAAAGCAAAATGCAAAATCTAAATGAAACCCGTCGAATAGTACTTGAAAAATTGATTTTTAAACATGACTTCTTGCAGGGGATCCCAGAACTTATATTCTTGAGAAGGAAGAAATTTTGCCTAATAGAATTCTTAATTTGACCGAATCTTAAACAAGCACCTGCAGTTATCCTTACATATAAAACCAAAGAACCAAGAAGGGCTCTAAAGAAGTTACAATTACCATAGCTGTCAAATTTTTTTCTCCATTTTTCCTGGAAAATTATATTTGAAGTGGTAGCAAGATTTATGCTTTGACATTTCCTTTTTTACAAGACATTTCCTTTTTTGTACGATAAATTTAATTCTTGGTCTTCAATAAACCGAATTTAAACATCTGATGATTACTGATGTGGCTATAGGTGCTGACGAAATTCAAGAAATTTCTGCTTACAGTTATCAGGGGTCTGTTTAGAAGAAATTTGGGTCCGTTAACGGTTCCTTCACAAAATATCTTTTCATAAAAACGGACCCTTCACAAAATATTTTAACTTAAAAACGGACCCTTCACAAAATGATTTTTCTTTTAATCGGACCCTTCACAAATTTGTTTATCTTCATTATTATTTTGTTAATCGAATAAACCCTTTCCAGGGCAGAAAACAAGAAAGATGGATGTAAACGAATTAAGTTTTGTCTTCGGGAGACGATTCTTCCATTATTCGTCCGAAATTAATGTTCTGCGTTCAGCAGTATTGGCTAAATACCAAATATTTGTATGTTGCATCTCTAATTTAGAAGCAGCAATTGTTGTTTATTTTTTGAAATTTAATTTTTTTAATTATAATTTTACAGTGTTGAGCATAATATTGTATGTCTTTACAATTAAAAAAACTCCTTGAAAAATTTTTTTTTGCATTAACGGACCCTATTTGCTCAAATTTATAAAAGCGGACCCTGGTTGAAAGAATGTGAGTAATTTTTTCACAATTTCACGAAAAACGGACCTTTCACAAAATGTCTGGACAGACCCCTGGTTATTATCTAAAAAAGTGCAGATATTGACAGCTAAGAAATAAATAAAATTTCTCTCATATAATATCTCATATTTTTTTAATGTAATCTATAATGAAAGCAAATTTACTAGCAGCTAAGGAAATAGATTTATTATAACCAAAGTAACATAATATTTATAAAACAGAACATTTAGCAATTTCTATTATTTATTATTTGAGAAACGAACAATGCGATTTTTAATTTACTGAACGGTGGATATATGTTTATTGAAATTTTCAAAATAAACTTATTTGTCGAATTTAAAAAATTGAAGTAAAAAGCCGTAATCTTCTATGAATAAAATATATATAAGAGTGTAATTTATTTGCTCCAATAAAAAAAATTATTTTCTTTACAATACTTTAACAACATTTTAGTTTTTTCTATGGATTTTATTATTATGGATTTAAAGATTTTATACTTAATTATTTTAGTCAAGAGTAAACAAATAATGAACCATTTTATAAATAAATGCAAAAGAAAAAGAATGAAATTAATTCGCAGCTAAGATGAAGACATAATCTTTCACTACCCCATGAACCGAATAATAAATAATTTCGGGATCGGTAAAAGTCATCGCAGAATTGTATATAAAACACCAAAATTTTTAAAACTTAATTACGCCGAAATAATCAGAAATTTTAAAAGAGACTCATCAGTTTGTTCATACGTTATATTTTAATTGTATTTATTATATTTTGTTTATATTCTACTTCTCTTCGGTATTCGGCAAAATTTTCCGATCACCAAAGAAATAGAATATTCCATAAATCGATTCCTTTAATTAAAATAAACCCGATTATGATTTTTTTTTTAAATTAAAGGTGTGAAATAGGGGGAAAAAAGCAACATTTAATTGCTCCGAAACTAATTGGAATTTTTATATGAGAATAAAACTGCAAAAAATTATAATTTTACTTCGATTAGCTTTTTTGAAAATGCAAAAAACTGTCAAATATAAACTATTTAATTACTTCAGAAATAATTCGAAATTTAAGTAAAGTGAGACCAGTTATCCATTTAAAGACATAAGAAAATAGGGCTACAATATATATATATTGAAATTTTTGTATTTGTGCTAATTTTATTAAACCTAAACTGAATTATGCAGCGCATAAAAAAATCTAGAGCTTTAACTTAAAATAGCCGCATCAATAACATTTTGATATTAGAATCGCAGTTTATGTTTTGAAACATTCGTTACTCTAGAAATGTGCAAAAGTTCATATTGTTTCATCTAATAGTTTTTGTCATTACTCAAAATCTCAACATTCAGTCATCAATGTTGAGATTTTGAGTAATGACAATGAGAAGCATAATCAGTGAGTATTTTCCAAAACAATGGAGACGACGCAGTAATTTATTTTTGAATGTAAGGACATAATTAAATAGATACTTCCACAAGTTACGCCGTCAACTTGGTGTCGTTTAAGAGTGAATATGCCGAATGGCCAAATAAAATTTGCCAAATTGTGAAAATCTTCATAGATCATAGCACCTCTACTAGCACGTGAAAATTAAATCATTACATCAAAAAAAAAAAAACTTGAAAAGGCATGGTTTTGAATCATTTCATCGCCGAAAAGAAGAACTTTTTCCAAAATTACAGTCGTCATCAGAATAAAGTGAATAAAAATATAAATGATGTGATATAACGGATCCGAAAAACTTCTTCGTCAACACCTAAATTCATGTAAGATTAGCAACTTATGTAAGTGGATCTACATAAGCTTAACATTTAAGGATACAAGTACTTATAAATTAGATATTAGTGTTTATGTTTGTCAAAATATTATATATAATTTGCTAGTTATAAATGTTTTTGTTTATAGTTGTTTTGGTTTTGGTTATTTTCTATACAGGCATCATGGCAATTAGTTTTGAATGATTGAAAAATCATGTAAGTATGGTTTCTATAATAATTATAGTGTAACTATTTTAATTATTTGCCTTCTATGATTTTTCCTTGAGGTTTGCTCTGCCCGGCCGGGACTTGCAGACCATAAGAGAGGTTATATTACAAAGGTTTCGTGCTTATGCAAAAATTAGTTTGAGTTATTACATCAATTTCACCATGTGAACTATAAGCTATCCTGTGAAGTTTAGGTAATTATGTACTGGACTGTTTCCATGTAAACTCGTGGGTAGCGTAATCGCGAGACTGAAATGTTCTTTTTGACGGAGTACATATCATTTGAAATCGTAGGATAGCTTGTGGATGTTATCTTAGAGTATCTGTACTTGAGTAAGTACACATTAGGATGCATCTGTTCTTCATTAGTGTTTTTCATCATCTGTAAAAAAATAATTATATCCAATCACCATTCTTGCTAATTAAAATAGACAGTATCAAATGATATTCAATTTTTTCAGGTTCTAAGTAGTGCTGAAAAAAAATGGAAGAAACGAATAGAGAGAAAATGGTATCAGAAAATAGTGCCGTACACAAAATTCCAACAAAACATTCTTTCCCAAAAATTGACAAAGAAATGATTCGATTCAAAGGTCATTTTTTCTTCTTCTACGGAGGTAAGATAACTTCTCCATCTAAATATATTATTTACTTAAAATAGTATGAGATATAAAAAAAATTCAAATAGTTATTAAGCGATTATTAGAAAAACATCTGGTAATCTAACCAGATAAACTGATTTTTATATGGTTTTAGACTGGCTTCTGATAATCTAACCAGATAACTCGTGTCGATATCTTTTAACGTACTTTTCCGAATTGCCAAATTTTGAAAATTTTTTTATCCGCTCCGCTTAAATATTATTTTGTGCCCCTTAAGAACCCATGGAGATTTAGCCTGGGGGCAAACTTTCACAAAGGATGATTAACTCGGCTGTAATGGACCCGCTCTTTAAAGTTAAAAGCTGGAAAACAGTCACCGAATGCAGAGACTTCTGGAGAAGGCTAGGGCTAACACAGAGCTGTTGAGGTAATAAAGAAGAGTGTTTTTGGATTTTTGACAAGGATTCTGAAAATATAAATGAAGAGTGGTGAAAGCAGAACGAAAGATTATATAACAATAGACAAACTGAACTGTTCCCCTGATTAGGAGTTATTCCATTCCTTTTGTTGTTGTTTCTAATGCTACTTGCCACACTAGCAAGCCTACTTGGTGAAACAAAGCAAATTTAAGGCAGAGGGTGCGTTTCTTGTTCTTCAGTGGCGCCATCTATGGCCAAGAATTCGTCTTCAGCCACACACACCGTCAAAGCCCTTTTATAGGGCAAACAAATTCATACATCCACAGATCGTATTTTGACCTGAATCAGAGAACGATCGATGGAATCCAGTTCCCCCAGAGGTATTGATTTGTTATGGGAACAAGGAGGACTTTGCGACTCGACAGATTTAACGTGCATCAGTCACCATTTACTCTTTACCACGAATTCTCGGACATGGGCCCAGCTCCCTACTGACCAGGCTATCCCTGCCCCTCCATTTCTTTTTCAGGTAGGGAATGAATCATATTTCCTACAATTATTTTCTTTTAAATAAAGGAATATTGCTCGGTATTCCCGATACTGATGTCTTTTCTTAAGTAAAGAGCCATTGTCCGATACTGTCTACCCTGACATTGTTTAAAAATCGTTACCCACTAAACGCTTTCCTGGTATTCTTCACAGAGATTGGGCGGGTTCAATTCGAGCGCAAATACCTGAGATCGACAGGGGCTCGTTTACTAAAAAAATAAAGTTTCGGGCTCGGATCTCATGATAAAATTTTTATAAAACTTTTTTACTATTTTTAAACAAGCATTTGCTTCCGTGATTGAGTACTTCCATTGATGTATACTTTATTTTCGTCAAGGATTCAACATCTAAATATCAATGTCGGTGATTACGGAACACCTTCTGTGTATCAAAAGCAGTACATTAATCGAAAAAATAAATACATATGTTATTCATTAACTTATATTACTCTTAGTAAATTTGTTTCGAAAAACGTGCCTTTTTTTAAATAACCAAAGAAGATTTTCTTATTAAGTCATAAATATTGAGCTTAAACAACAGTTTACGACACAATAGCTTTATTAAATATTTATCGATTATATTGCAATAGATTTCTTGTAAATGATATTTATATAATATTGCGATCTCATCTTTTGATTTAACGTAGTTTAACTTTATTGCAGTTGCGGNTTTTTTAAATAACCACAGAAGATTTTCTTATTAAGTCATAAATATTGAGCTTAAACAACAGTTTACGACACAATAGCTTTATTAAATATTTATCGATTATATTGCAATAGATTTCTTGTAAATGATATTTATATAATATTGCGATCTCATCTTTTGATTTAACGTAGTTTAACTTTATTGCAGTTGCGGGTACTATGACACCTTATCTCCCACTTATAGCAAGAAAAAGGCTAAAATTAACTGCAACATCTTTAGCCACAATTTTGACTGCACAGGTTTTTATCACCATTTTATCTAAACCTCTAATAGGATACTTAGCAGATTATTTCAATAGAATGAAGTTGATTTTATCCACATTACTTGTATTACTATCAATATTTTACTTATTACTTTTAATCATCCCTCCCATTGAAAAATACTCAGAGCCATTAAAACCGCGAAGTTCTGAAGAATTTTTACAATTTGTAAAAAACTTAAGAAAAATTCAAATAAAAAACCAGACTGAAAATTATTATGTTAGATATAAAGATAAAAATGGTTACGATGTACTATGTCTTTTATTTTATTACAAAGCAATTTTTTCTGGTGATAATGAAACAAATGTGATCACTTTAGAATCAAAAAATCCTTATCATTGCTTAATTAATGCTTTGCAATTTAAGGAAGTCACATCTGATGAGACAGGAAACGTATCGTGCCATTCATTATTCGACACGATGTATCAAGTATTAAATAAATCTTTAAGTTGTACAATTTTCATCAATTGCTTTCTTCGAAGTGAAATATTAATTGGAACTAAAAATGACAATTTTAGAACTGAGAATACATCTAAAAACCAATATGATGATGTTTGTCTTTCGATCACCAACGAAACAGAGCTGTTTTGTTTTTTAAAAAACAATGGCACAAATTACACATTAGACAGAAAAAATCACAGCTGTTGTAATATGAACATGTCATCATTCAGAGAATCGGATGTAAACAAAACTTCAAATATCGAAAGTTCCTTATTCGATGAATTTGACACAGTAACTAACACATTGGACAATGATTCTTATAAATCTTTGTTAAAAAAAATAAATCGAGCATCAAATGAATCTTCCTGTTGTATAATTTTTCTTGTAGCAACCAATACACTACAGAATGTTTTATGCCAGCCTTTAATTGAAGAGATAAATCAAATTTCAAACGATACTTCAAACATAAAGTATTCCTTATTTAAAGAATTCGAAACATTAGCTAATGCTTTCGACAATGATTCGTATCAATCATTGCTAGAAAAAATGAATCGAATATCAAAAGAATCTTCTTTTAAAATTTTTTGCACTGCAACCAGTGCACTAGATAATTTTTCTTGCAAGCCATTACTTCAGGTCATAAATCCAGTATCAAATGAATCCTTTCGCGGCACAATTTATGATTCTGGGAAGTTAGAAAGTATCAACCAGATTCCAATCGCTATTGACTTTAAGGCGTACCAGTTCTGGTTTTGTGCATTCTTAATGATAGTTTCTGACACATGCTTAAGCTCTCTTTATACGCTCTCGGACACTATCTGCTGTGAGAGTGTCCACGCCCTAGGGAAAGACTTTGGCAAACAAAGATTATACTCCGCCATTGGATGGGGCGGCTTGGCGTCAATCGGTGGTTATTTATATGATGTGACCAATAATTATTTCGCTATATGGATCCTTATGGTACTCTTACAATGCTTGACTTTGTGGAATCTTTTCAAAATGGTTGTGATTAAGCCAAATTTGTCAAAAAACATTCTAAAAGATATTAGACATGTTCTGAAATCACCCGAATTTTTAGCCTTCAATGGCGGAGTTTTGATGAATGGCATGTGGTTGGGAGCAATATGGTTTTTCCTTATCGTATTTTTGGACTCACTCGGAGCAAGCAAATTCCTTTGTGGTTTTATTACGGTTATGCAGTGTTGCGTTGGAGATATACCTTTCATGTTTTATTCAGAGTGGATTATTAATAAACTGGGGCATTTTAATCTGATTTCTCTGTCTTTACTTGCTTATGGTATTCGATTCATATGGTACAGTTATCTTCAGGATCCGTGGTTAGTGCTTCCTGTCGAAATTCTGCATGGACTTACTTCTGGAATATTCTATCCTGTAGTTGCCAATTATGGGAAGTTAAGTGCCAGACCTGGAACAGAAGCTACAACACAGTCAATTATTTTTTCAACTCATGAAGGTTTAGGTAAATAAAAAATTTAAATGGTCTTTTCTTTTTTTTGACAGCTGCATTTGTTTTCAAGTGTTTTGAAAAAGAAATAATAAATTTTCCGAACACCATTTTTAATTGTGAAAACTGATGTCAGTTACTATTGCTAGAATGCTTTTAAAATCCTTTTTTCTATTTGTTTAATACATTTATAAAAAAAATTTGCTTCATCTTTTAAGGTCTGATATGTTAATCTAAATGTTTTAAGGTTTATTGGTGACTAAACCAAAACACCATTGTTTATATACAAATGTATATCATTTTAAGAATTATAGATAAAGAATTAGAATTTTATACCTAAACTCAGTGGCGCGACAGCCCATCTCAGTTTTCTTGACCTTGGGCTCTGGGGTGCAGGAGCAGATGCTCCGGTTAGGTGGTCAGCCTTACGCGAAACCCCCAGTGTTTAATTCGAAGCATGCTTGGAACTCATTTATCGACCCACTGAAGGGATGAATGGCTGAGTCAACCTTGCCGGCCCGAGGATCGGCGCTACCATTCAGCCACCGGGCATCGAATTTTATACCTAGGCCAATAAAATTTACAAAAGGACGTTTAAAAAATTTTATGACACAATAACATTTTGCGTTATCGGGAATATGGACATACAACATTTTAAACTATAAGTATATGACCATATACTAATAGTTATAACTATCACTTACAGTTATAACTATATATAAACTATTAGTTGGTATCTTTACAAGAAATAATGAATGAATGATTGACAAAAAAGCTCAATAAAATCGAAAAAAAATCCTTATGAGGGAAATTTTTATTTCAGAGGGGAAAAATGCAATCTAAATAATAATTGAATTGTTAACTTAATTTTTTCAAATCAGTCAGACTAGCAAAATAAGTACATTATTTCCATCATTTTTTTTTTTCTTTAACTTTCATGTTAACATTGCAGGTGCAGGAATAGGATGCATCTTGACTGGGATTAGCTTTGATAATATAGGAGGACATTGGACATTTTTTTACCTTAGCCTGTGTGCTTTTTGTTCAGCTGCCCTTAATATTTTGATTCATCTTACAATCAAAAGGCGCAGCAAAATTTTGCAAATAACAGTTCAATAAATCACTGCGATAGAAGAATTTTTTAAAATCAAATCTTGCAGAGTCATTGCTAGACATTGTGGCGTCAAGGAAGTAGCATCTCACTCTCACAAATTTTCGTAAGAAACTTTTTATATCCGTTGATGTTAACTTTGTGAGATGAAAAAATAGGATGTCTCCATAAAAATTGCTACGCAACGTTTTGAAACTGGGATGCAAAAAACGAACACACAACTGTTTGACTGCTTTAAAGATGGCAAGACTGCACTACTCCACTTTGTTACGGGTGTCTTAACATTTAAACTCCATTTATATCAATGACATATACAATAAATGATTTTGTTCAAATCTGTTTTTAAGTCCACAAGGGATAATACATCACTCATCTTAAAAAGAAAATGTAGGAGCATTACCTTGTAAAGCTGCTAAATTATAAAGTCTTAATGTTTTTAAAATTTTTTTCTTCTCTATTGTACGAAAAAAAAAGCAATGGTTTAGAAAAAAAGAAAAAAAAAGTCCAGCATTTCGAAAATCACATTTTTGTGAAAATTTAATGATTTAAGACCATGATTGTAGAATTTAAATAAATAAATTATACAACAGTTCTAAGACATTTTTCGATAGACATAAATAACCTAACTATTTTGTCACTTCTTGAAGGGAGACCAAGTCATTAAGCTTATGTCTAACTATAAACTAAGAGAAGCATGAATACAACTATCATATATAGTATTTTAACATTAGATAATTGAGGCTACAACATGGTGCGTAGCATAATAATAAAGACATAAATAACCTAACGATTTTGTCACTTCTTGAAGGGAGATCAAGTCATTAAGATGATGTCTAACTCTAAACTAAGGGAACCATGAATACAGCAATCATACATAGTATTTTAACATTAGACAATTGAGGCTATAAAAGGGTGTGTAGCCAGATTTTTCAACAAAAAAATAAACACCATAATAAAAATAAGTACTTTTTAAGCACTTAAAAAATATTTTTAATCACTTTCGAAAGAAAAAAAAATATCATAATTAGAATCTGTGCAGTAATAAAAATTACTTTTTTCTATTGTTTAAAGTTCTTCATTTATAAACATAAAATCAATAAAATTCAAAAGCCTTACATAATCATGATAAAATAACTAGTTTCTGATAAATATTGCAGAGAAAATTGTGAAGATCGTGCGTTTTTTGTAATTCAGAGCGACAATCGACGCGGCAAAGAAAAATCTCTTTTTAAAAGATAGAAAATTAAGCACTTGAAGGCTATAATGTTATGCAAAAGAGTTAAAAAAAAAAAGAGTACTAAAAATAATTTATTGTAATTTTTTTTCATACAAAATATACAGAATAGGATGAGTCACAACATTAGATGTTATGAATCACAAGAACTTGAGATGGGCGTAATAGAAAGGTTTGATATATCTCTCGGTAGCATCACATCCTTGATGGCGTCTGTCTTAGACGTGCAAGCAAGAATGGCTTCAATTACACCTCCGGCTTCCATCAATTCATTTAAGTAATCACATTCATTGTTCATTGCATCCAACATGTACTGGAATTGTAAATTGACTTCTGGGTCACACATCTTTGGACCATAGATGTCTACAATAAAATAAATTGAACCCATTGTAAATAACACTTCTATTAAATGATACAGTGGAACCATGATTATCTGATACTCGATCAAAGCATACTGACGCATGTTTGACCACTATTACAATTGATTTTGCCCAATTACTGTTGTGACAATTAATTTCAAATATGGGTGCCAGAAAATTGCAATTTAATTTATTAATGTTTTTTCTTTCATGATAGTAAATTGTTATTTCTGACAAAAAAATTTTTTCTTANGGGGTGCAGGAGCAGATGCTCCGGTTAGGTGGTCAGCCTTACGCGAAACCCCCAGTGTTTAATTCGAAGCATGCTTGGAACTCATTTATCGACCCACTGAAGGGATGAATGGCTGAGTCAACCTTGCCGGCCCGAGGATCGGCGCTACCATTCAGCCACCGGGCATCGAATTTTATACCTAGGCCAATAAAATTTACAAAAGGACGTTTAAAAAATTTTATGACACAATAACATTTTGCGTTATCGGGAATATGGACATACAACATTTTAAACTATAAGTATATGACCATATACTAATAGTTATAACTATCACTTACAGTTATAACTATATATAAACTATTAGTTGGTATCTTTACAAGAAATAATGAATGAATGATTGACAAAAAAGCTCAATAAAATCGAAAAAAAATCCTTATGAGGGAAATTTTTATTTCAGAGGGGAAAAATGCAATCTAAATAATAATTGAATTGTTAACTTAATTTTTTCAAATCAGTCAGACTAGCAAAATAAGTACATTATTTCCATCATTTTTTTTTTTCTTTAACTTTCATGTTATCATTGCAGGTGCAGGAATAGGATGCATCTTGACTGGGATTGGCTTTGATAATATAGGAGGACATTGGACATTTTTTTACCTTAGCCTGTGTGCTTTTTGTTCAGCTGCCCTTAATATTTTGATTCATCTTACAATCAAAAGGCGCAGCAAAATTTTGCAAATAACAGTTCAATAAATCACTGCGATAGAAGAATTTTTTAAAATCAAATCTTGCAGAGTCATTGCTAGACATTGTGGCGTCAAGGAAGTAGCATCTCACTCTCACAAATTTTCGTAAGAAACTTTTTATATCCGTTGATGTTAACTTTGTGAGATGAAAAAATAGGATGTCTCCATAAAAATTGCTACGCAACGTTTTGAAACTGGGATGCAAAAAACGAACACACAACTGTTTGACTGCTTTAAAGATGGCAAGACTACACTACTCCACTTTGTTACTGGTGTCTTAACATTTAATCTCCATTTATGTCAATGACATATACAATAAATGGTTTTGTTCAAATCTGTTTTTAAGTTCACGAGGGATAATACATCACACATCTTAAGAAGAAAATGTAGGAACATTAGCTTGTAAAGCTGCTAAATTATAAAGTCTTAATGATTAAAAAAAATTTCTATTGCATGAAAAAAAACAATGGTTTAGAAAATAAGGAGAAAAAAAAAGTCCTATGTGTTTTGAAAACCACATTTTTGTGAAAATTTAATCAAGACCATGATTGTAGAATTTAAATTAATAAATTATACAATAGTTCTAAGACATTTTTCGATAGACATAAATAACCTAACTATTTTGTCACTTCTTGAAGGGAGACCAAGTCATTAAGCTGACGTCTAACTCTAAACTAAGGGAAGCATGAATACAGCTATCAAATATAGTATTTTAACATTAGATAATTGAGGCTATAACATGGTGTGCAGCATAATAATAAAGACATAAATAACCTAACATTTTTTGTCGCTTCTTGAAGGGAGAACAAGCTATTAAGCTGATGTCTAACTCTAAACTTAGGGAAGCACGAATACAGCTATCATACATAGTATTTTAACATTAGATAATTGAGACTATAACAGGGTGTGTAGCCAGATTTTTCAACAAAAAATAAACACCATAATAAAAATAAGTATACTTTTTAATCACTTAAAAAATATTTTTAATCACTTTCCAAAAACAAATCATAGTTAGGATCTGTGCGGTAATAAAAATTACTTTTTTCTATTGTTTAAAGTTCTTAATTCATAAACATAAAATCAATAAAATTCAAAAACCTTACATAATCATGATAAAATAACTAGTTTCTGATAAATATTGCAGAGAAAATTGTGAAGATCATGCATTTTTTGTAATTTAGAACGACAATCGACACGGCAAAGAAAAATCCCTTTTTAAAATATAGAAAATTAAGCACTTTTCACAAAAGCACCTTTAAGCACTTGAATGCCATGCACCCTGTATAATGCTATGTAAAAGAGTAAAAAAAAAATAATAAAAAAAAGTGCTAAAAATAATTTATTGTAATTTTTTTTTCATACAAAATATACAGAATAGGATGAGTCACAACATTAGATGTTATGAATCACAAGAACTTGAGATGGGCGCAATAGAAAGGTTTGACATATCTCTCGGTAGCATCACGTCCTTGATGGCGTCTGTCTTAGACGTGCAAGCAAGGATGGCTTCAATAACACCCCCGGCTTCCATCAACTCATTTAAGTAATCACATTCGTTGTTCATTGCGTCTAACATGTACTGGAATTGTAAATTGACTTCTGGGTCACACATCTTTGGACCATAGATGTCTACAACAAAATAAATTGAATCCATTGTAAATAACGCTTGTAATAAATAATACAGTCGAACCATGATTATCTGATATTCGATCAAAACACACTGATGCATGTTTGACAGCTGTTACAATTGCTTTTGCCCGATTACTGTTTTGACAATTAATTCGAAATATGGTTGACAGAAAACTGCAATTAAAAAAAAAATTTATGTTTTTTTTATTTCAGAATTTTTTTCCTTTTTTTCTGCTTTATTTATTGCAAATTGAATGAACTACTAAACTAAGAAGCTGAAACAATTCTGAATGATTCTAATGCTAATATTGTTGACAATGTAGCTTAAATTTTGCAGAATAAATTAATAGTAGAATTCACACTTTATCGCTTTTGCTTTTTCTGAATGCTGTATTATGGCTTCTAGAGTTTTTTCTCAAATAATTTATAGATCAACAGTTTTAATGAGGTAGAATAAAAAATAACTTAAAATTTTCAGTTACAGGTGACAATTCAACACAGTAGTACAGCACAAAACATTTTTTAGTGGCGTTAGTTTAGAAATTTTCATTAAGTAAACTTTCATATGTTGAATAATAAAATTCAAATTGCTTTATGTTATGAATATAGAAAGAAAAGAGAAAAAAAAACCTAGACACAGTATCATAATTAAGTATTCTTATTTAAATAAAGAGGATAAGAGCACACATTAATAGAAATAGATATTTTTGCAACTGTAGACATTATTTCTTTGCAGGATGTTTAAATTTAGAACATCATAAAAAAGAAAGTCACAAATAATAATAATAAAAAAAAGCTGAGAACATACCATGAGTATTTTTTACAAATGTTAAAAAGTTTTATGAAGTAAGAACTTCTTTTAATGATCAATATGAATCCAAAAAAATATATAATCTTACTATTATTTTTTTAATCCTTAAAAGAAGAAATATTAATTACCCATTAACATCATTGATACATCAATGAGAAATGTCTGGAATCTTACGTCTCTGAAATATCTAAAAGGGAAAAACATATAGATAAGTAAAATGAATTATACATAAGAATCATAACTAAATACAGGGTTGCCACAGAAAAAAACAAAATAGTTGCTTTTAGTAGCCTAAAGCATGAACATAGTTGCTGATAACTATGAAAATAACTTCCTAAATAAGAACAAAAATTCATCAAAAATATGACTAAAATTTTATTAANTACCTTTTTCTAAAAATTTTTCCTTTTTATTAAAAATTGGGTTTTATAAAATCATGCAAAATTTTGGAGAAATAACCATTGAAAAGCCAATCGAGAAACAAAATAGACTTACAATGGAATCTGTGCAAATTGAACAAATTAAAAAGTGATGACTCAAATTTGCCATTCAAGATTTTTTATTTTTTAAGGAAAAAACAAAAAAAAATTCAGCATGTTCAGAAGCTTCTGTGGGCCGCAGGTTTTCAACCCAGTTCATGCTAAAAAAACACTGCTACAAAAACAGAAAAGTCTCCCAATAGTCTCCTTTTCCTGAAAATAGGTGCTTTTTAAACCTTTTCAAGCAAAAAAAAAAAAAAATCCCATAGTCGCCTCATGCCGAAAATAGTTGCATTTTAGTCGCCTGTAATAACCCTGTACCGATGATAATTAATTTCCCATCACATGTTATCACAGTTAAGTGAAAGATGCATTTTTAATACCAAGTTTGTTATCTAAGAAATTTCTGCAATCTGAATTTTTGACCCCTCAGGAACACAAATTCAAGTTGCAGTTTGGTAAAAAGTCAAAGGTAAAAATAAACATTTCTTACTTGTTAACAAACTTCATCAATTGTTGAAGAGATTCACCCTCTCTTTCAGCCATTGCTGCTTTTAGAGATCCTCGTATTAACAATTCTTTCATAACACCAACTGTTACTTCTGGGTTTTGCTTCTGTATCCGATCCTAAAAAATGAAAAATGCCTTTTAACAACCTGAAATTTCAAAATTAAAAACAACTTTTAACAAGCTATATTTTTCACTATTAACTAGGAATAGCACAATTTCAACAACGTAAATTTTAAAAAGAAATACAGGAAGTTATTAAATGTAGAACGTTTTCATTACTGCAAAGCAACCAGTTTAAAGTTTTGGAAAATTCCAGGACTAAACATTTAGAGGGTTAATGGCAAAATAGCCAGAATTGGCTATATTGCACCAAATATATGCAAGCAAAGTAAGGTAACTACTATTGGTGTTTAGATAATATAGGAAATATATATATTTACAATTTTCGAGAACAAATTCTTTATTTTAATTTGGTGGTATTTCTCATTAATAGCGAATCAAAGTAAGGTTTAAAATAAAATAATGTTTGAAATTTTTTGCTGTTGACTCTTTTTCTTTTTAACTTGTTATAGTAAAATATATTTTTATGATCGTATAATATTGCTTTTTCACATGTATCATTCAAAACTAAATTTTTGCAAAATTGTGCCTCATAAAAATAACAATAACTAATGGATTTTGTAAATCAATAAAAACAAGAACAAAATACAATAAAAGTGCATGGTTTGTGGCATTGTATAGGTCTTGCTGTATACAAATATAAATCTGGTTAAAATTTTACAAAAAAAAATAAGGCCATTTTTTAATAGAATACACACATACTAGAATTGGAAACAGTTTCAAATTGGAAAAATTGGTTTTTATCTTTCTAGAGCCTCAGTGCCTGTTTTTAAAAATTTTGATACAAACATTAAGATTTATAACTGGCAACATCTAATCTCTCACTCTCTTATTTTTTTAATTACAGTAATTCTCCATATTTCTCTTTGTTACTTTAGATATCAAGATCTCAGGATAGAAACTTTTTACAACAATGCATAGTCATTTTTTAAAGCAAAAAAAGTGAGAGAAAAGAAAAAAAAATTGTGAAAACAAGGCACTCAATTGCAATAAAACAAATTTAAATAAAGGAAAAAAAAAACCCTCACGCTGAGTTTATAAAAATTTTTTTTCTTCCTTTTTATCAAAATCCAAATAGCATTTTTGTGGACTACATAAGCGGCCACTAGTTTTCCCTTTTTACAAGTTTAACAGTTAATTATCCTCAAGCTAATTATCAAAAATGACATTTATATATTTCAACAACCTTGTGTGCAATTTGTGTGCTTTCGTAATTCCAAGTTTCTAAGTCTTTGCGCTGGTCACGTTTATGCACAACAAAACAAAATGTAATGTAATTTCTACCACCCAAAAAAAGTGGCAATGGTGCTTATGATTTTTGAATATAGAAACTATTGCTTTAAAAAAAGAGTCAGTATCAATTGGATAATATCTCCTCATAACACTATGTAATTAAAATTAGTAAGTGAGTTCAAGAGAACAGGTTGGCTACTGCCTGGAAAAATTTAAAATGCGGTGACAAATGAATTGTAAGTTTATTATAAATTTCAAAGGATTTCGTTTCATGCCAATTAAAAATTCAGAAGTAACAAGAATATTTAGTATATCAATATTTTTGGCTATAAAAATTGTATAAAACTTTTTATTTCCTCAATTTTTCTCTACTACTAGTTTTTAATTTATTTAGAACATGGCTACCTTGGATAACCTTAATCAAATAATTTTAAAGTAAGGTTTAAATAATCTATAAAATACAGTGACACCTAATTGGCACCTAATTATCACATTCCTTGGAAGATACTGTAAGTGAGTCACAGTGACAAGCAACAATACTCACACCACACTGCCACAGATTACTAATCTTAGGGCACAGAAATTTTACACAATAGAGAACGAATACAAAAAGAGGCATCCATGCCCTGATCGCCATTTGACCATTAGCTTCTCAGTTAGACACCCTGACCACTTGGTCGGCAAACAGAGTGAATATGCCGCTAAATATTTTGAAACAAAAACACTTTAGTAGATGATTCCTTAATTTAAAACATCTATAATATAAATACTATTTTTCCGTTGTAATCGATCCTTTTAAAATCATATGAAAGAGACAAATCAATAATTGCAAACTACATAATTCCTCTCCACAAGATTCGTTACCACATTTGCTGAAAATAATAAATAAGCATATGACCCCAATAATTTCTCACACTAAAAATTTGATAATGTAAAACTGTTAGTTGAGTTTTTTTTTAAAAGCATACTTTTTTTAAAAGCATTCTGAGCATACTCAAAAATCAGGAATATCAGAACAAAAAGCTAAAAATCAATAAAAGTAAGGACAAATATTTTCCCCCAGGAATATAAGGACAACTATGAAACCTGTATCATGCTAGGCAGACTAAGTTTTCATCCCCCAAAACTGCATATTTAGTAAAACATTCTGCCAATAGATGGTGCTGTAGAACAAGAATAACTATAATTGGTATGAAAATGGTGCTGGGACTACAGCAAAAACATCCATATCCACAATTCCAACAACTAAATCATCATCAAAATTTTTCCAAAGTGCTCAATAGCTGATTTCATGGTTAAATACAGACTGGGGATATCAGATTTAATTTTTCTACAGCACCAAAATTGGCAAAAAGATAACTAACGGCGCAATTTTATGGGTTGAAATTACCTAGCAAAACACTGAATATTTCAGGTTCTGTTCTTTTTTATTTATTTTCAAAATAGATCAGTCATTTTAGTAGTATTAGTTTAGTAGTTACACCCAGAATAAATTATCCATGAACTTTTATTAAGTTACTATAATAGAACACTAGGGCCAAGTTTTCAACAGCAAAGTTATTTCAGTCCTTGGAAATTGAAACACCAGCAGCTTTCTTTGAAATAAGTTTTTAGTTACATTATTCATTTTCGTAAGTATAAAATTAATAATCCTAAATGTAGGAAAAATATTTTTAGACAAGCATTTTTAAAATATATAACATAAAGTATGATATGGTGTTGGACTGATTTAAACTACTAAATCATTTATCAGAAAGCTTCAATAAACAAATATAACAGTTTTACAACTCTACATACAACATAAAACATAAGAAATTACTAGTAACAATTCCCAAAACACAATCGAAACAAAAAATTATCAAAGTATACATGAAGAGTTTTACCTTAAGTACTATATCAAGGGCTTTAGATGCTTCAAATTTCCTTAAACGATTTTCATATTTTTTCAAAATTGCTTTTACTTCATTTGGAATAACTATATCTCCCTAAATCAAAAAATAAAATTCTACAAAACTGATAACAAAAATTTAAAATTGCATGCATTAAAAATGTTTATAACTAGAAAAATAATTACAAAAAATTTAAAAAGAAATTTTTTTTTTAAAGATATTTTCCTGTTTTATTGTATAAAAAAAGAGAAAACAAACAAACATTAATGTAGTGAATAGCATCACACTTTATCAAACTGAACAAAATTTAAAATTACCTAGTAATATGAAAATAATAATTCATACCAATTAAAAGTATCTTAACAGAGTATACTATTAAACCATTCTTCATTTTAAAAAAAAACAAGATCATTAAGATTGATTTAAGTATATTATTTTAAAAAAGCAGTAAAAAAACTTATTTTCTTAGCAAAAATAAACAAATAAATAAATAAAAAGCTTACTAATTACCAGAATTGAATAAAAACAAGCCTTCATAACATAACAAAAATTTGTTTTTCATTAATTTTTTATTCAGATTTGCCTAACAAGATACATGCATATTTTAAGTATACATTTCCAAATAAATAAATAAAATATTTTCTTTGAACATTAAAATTACCTCATATCAAGATATAGGACTGAATTTAAGTAGCTTCTATTAAAGGCTTTGAATTATGCTCAATGAAAATAAAACCAGAAGACTTTAAATCATCAGATAAACTAATTATTTAAATGAAAAAATTAAAAAAAAAATCATAAACACATTTTACAAATCATTATTTATGGTTTACTTTTTATAGTTGAATTTTTGATACAATTACATAACAAATATAATAAAACTGATTTCCTCAAAAGAAAATTAGGAAAAAAATTTTAAGCATAACTTACACTCCCTTCTGAAATACACATATTTTTGTTTTATTTAATTCACAGCTCAAAATAAATTAAGACAAAAAAAAAAAAAAAAAAAAAAAAAAAAAAAAAAAAAAAAAAAAAAAANTGGAAAATGACACATGTGTAATTTTTAATTTAAAATCAACTTGAGAATTTTTGAAACACAATACACAAATTAAATTTAAAAAAAGTGAAATAATTAAGCATGTTCAAAATAAGAATTTTAAAAAGAATGTTTTAAATGCAACAATTTTATTAACAAGGAAAATGCTAAAATGCATATTAGAAGTTGGTATTAAAATTAAATTTAATTTAGTTCTATGTTCAACACATAGTATAAAATACTTTTAAATATGATATTATTGGTCATATACAGTGGTCAAGAGATTTTAGGCACCTGATCACCACATCAACTAAAGACATAGATTTTGGTTGAATATAACATAAGGGGATATAGCTGTTGAGATATTTTTTAAGCCATAACAAAGTTAGATCTAAAAATTGGTTGTAGCTGCTAAAAATTTTCAATTTCTTGTAGAGTCCTGACGTAAAGAATATACATTATAACCATCTGCTCAAACAAGTTTAAATTAGTCTTTAAAGAGAAAAGTGAGCCATGATCAAGTTAGAATCGGACTCCGGTTCGGAAAGACCGGGATTCAAACATTTACTTCGGTAAGACCCACCGAGCGCATAACATACACATGCTCGGAAAATCAGTGGAATGAAAAGACTTGTTGTCTGTCACTGATCGTGGGAACATGGATTTGGAGAAAATTTTGTTCCCTTTCAGATCTATATCTAAATTGAAGAAGTAGAGTGGTCTTGTCCTTTAGCTGTGTAGTTTTGAGCTAATATGTTGTTTCATTCTTGCAGTATTTTCTTGTCAAAGGAGAGGCACACCTTCTTGACTTAATTCACTGAAGTCCAATAGCTTTGACACTTGGACAAGCTTGGCTTGTCCAAGCGTCATTAGAAATAACAAGAGAAAAGTAAAACAGTGTTTTCACTACAGTGCGAGAACGTGGGAATCGCGCAGATTTTTTTTCTTTTCTCGCAATAAAAAATTATTAACGCGAGAAGTTTGCGCACTCTATTAATCAATTTCAAAATGCGCACATTTTGGAAAAAATTTCGTCTTTTGCCATTTTGAATAAATACCGTTTCACATTTCTTCCTTGATCTTTCATTATTTTGAACATTGGTCCTTGTTATCTAGCTTCTCTATTTACCAGTGTTGTTCAGAACCGGTGCGAACAGCAGAACACCACCCCCTCGAATCACGGAACCCCTTTCACTGCAACCACGTGTTCACCATAGGTAAGGTTTCTTCATGTAAGATATTAACATTTTTTGTGCATGAATGTAAGATGGACAAATACCTTGTTAAGGTGACATCTTCTACTCCGTAAAGGACAAATGAAAATGAAACAAATGTCGGTAGAAATGGTCAAAACGAAACAAATACGGATATTTTTCAACCAAATAAATGTAATAGCTGATGAAAAAGTAGATATAGAACATTTTCCATATGGTGATGCAGCAAAAATATTCAATTAGAAGATGTTAAAAATGTATTATAATTAGAGAAATAATTTTTTTCCAAGTCTATTCGTGTTTATTTAATTTTTAGAAATCTTACTTAACTTTTTGAAATCTCACTCTGTTTTTGAGAAAGGGTGAGAAATTCTCTCCCATTTTTTTTCTGTAATGAAAACACTGTAAAATTACTTAGAAGAATGTAAAAATACTTAGAATCTTGAATGTCATTGACCTGATCGTAATTTGGTTACATATAATTATAAAGTTTATAATGCACAAAATTACCTTTAAAACAAAATTGGGAAAAAAATAATAATAAGGTTTATAACATAAGACATAATTGGAAAATAAAAATCATTAAATTTCCTAATAGGAAAAAAATAAAAAAGATAATCCCACTTACAATAGAAGTTTATAAAATTGAAAAAATTCAAGCCACTTACATCTGCAGGTTTAAAATCAGCACTTCGAATAACTTTATGATGCAAGGTAGGCTTCTTCACTACAGGCTCTTTATCTGCTTTTCTATGCCTTAAAGAGAACAGACCATCAGCCATGCCAATGGCAACTACTTTGTCCTCTTCTGGCTGTCAGGAAGATAATTAAATTTAAATACTAAATTAAATTAAAATTTTAGAATACAATAAGACATCATAGGATATACTTGATAATATAAAAACTTCATTTGCTCACAGCGCAAAAAATAAACTTGTTTCAAGCTCTCAAAAATATCAAGATTTGCAAGATGCAAATGAGAAATTTCAGCAAATTTCTAACTTTTGGATCACCAATTTTTCATTGTAGGACCAAGCATTTCAATGATGCCTGGGTCTCTGGGCCTGTGGAAAAACCCTACTAAGTTATGCAACAAAGTAAAAAAATAAAAAATCTATAAAAAAAAGCATTGTGTTGTAATTATATTTCTTAGGAAATTTTTTCTGTATTTACTTTTGTGTTTGTTAGTTTCCTTCATGTAGGTAAGTAGTTGAAATTTTGATTAGTGAAAAATACTGCATTTATTATTTAGTAAACCAGTGCAATTTATATTGCCATCAAACTCAGAGCTGCAGCAGAAATTTGAGCCATCAAGTGGTTGAAACTTAGATTGGCAATAAATTGCATTATGCAATATTAAGTTGGTGATATGTAAATAAACATCGCTGGTAGCAGCAAGAAATTTATTTCAACTTAGATTATCATCAAGCACAAAGTCTAAGCGTCTAATTTAAGTTTAAATTAAGTACTGCAGTTAGTCAGATAGAGGTAGATATTTAAATTTCAAGATTTCCCCCTCACAAACAAACATATTTAAAATAACCATATATTAATAGATATAACAAACAGTGTTCCAAATTACAGATTCCACATAAAAAAAATAATCATTGATTGAACTACCAGAGTTGAATAATAAATTGTTAGTAATATATGTGTTTTAGTTTGACGAAAACAAAGATTACAAAGCACATTTTTAAATGTGAATTTCTTTTTATTATTTTTAAACGTTATTTGTAAATAATACTTACAGAAACTGCAATACTCAAAATGGGAGATGGATAATCAAGTGTGTGAACTACTTCATATGAAGTGACATCATAAATCTTCACATGCCTAAAAAGTTTAATTTTGCCCACATTTAGTAAATTATAAAAGCACACAAATGGAAAATAATAATTGTTGAAAGCTAAGAATTAGAATAAAAATAACGTAATTTATTCAATTCAATAAAATACATTTTGAATGACAAATAACCATGTCAAATTTCTTACATACCAATTGTGGTCAAAATTGATCGTGAAGCATTATGTTTTGTTTATATGATAATTAAAACTATTTATTGTTTTGGTTACTTATAAAAAACATCACTATTTGTTAGAAAAACAGCAACTAAATTTTCATAGTGTCACAAAATAACAAAAGATGTTCTGGGTGAGTAACTAAACTCTAAAATACTCACTAAATAAATAAAAAGATAATAACTTAAGAGAGTTTAAGAGGTTCTGGAACAAAAGTTCAAAATCTTTTCTGTACTTGAACATAAGTGGTATCAGTTTCTTGTATCAATCAGAATCTTGTTTGAACAAGATACCGATCTGGTGCACAAGCAAAGCCCGTTTTCGAGTCTTCATCATCATTGCCAAAATTATTGCATGCAAAATACCACAAAAGTTAAGTGGCCGAGATACCTTTGCAGTGAGAATAGTTTGTCAGATAACCTGCAGACTAAAAAAAATGTATATGAAGCTGTGTATCATGGCAAAGGGTGTTTTAAAGTTACTCTAATTTGTTATTGATTCATTCAATATTATTGTTTTACTTGATGAACTTACATAGATGTTCTAAGTATATGTTTTCGGGAATAATTATAACATAGCTTGATAAGGGTTTTTGAGTTAAAACTGTTTTGTTTTTAATATGAAATAAAAAATAAATTACTGAGTGAAATTGGCATCTTCATGATAATTTAATGTAACCATTTAATTTAGTAATTTTCTTGGAAGCTATAACGAAATAATATAATTCAAATTAAAGTTACCTATCTAAAGAACCAGATAAAAGACGTTTTCCATCACTGTTAAAACAAAGAGATGTAATTGTTTTATGATGTTGAACAATTTCAGTAACTTTTCTTCCAGCAACTGGATCCCAGACATTAACACTTGTACCACCTGTTTCATTTATGAATAAAATACAAAAAAAGAAACAGTTTTCAATTGTGGCTTATAAAAAAAAATAAGTTACAAATAATAGTGAAAGCATAATAATAATAAAACAAATTTCTAAACTTTTAAAATGTTAAAACTCAATGCAAAATGTAAATTAAAAAAAAAAAAAAAAAAAAAAANACCACCTGTTTCATTTATGAATAAAATACAAAAAAAGAAACAGTTTTCAATTGTGCCTTATAAAAAAAAATAAGTTACAAATAATAGTGAAAGCATAATAATAATCAAAAAAATTTCTAAACTTTTAAAATGTTAAAACTCAATGCAAAATGTAAATTTTAAAAAAAAAAAAAAAATTTAAAAAAAAAAAACGATAACTACAATCAATAAATAAGGATGCATATGTCAACCAAAGCTAGGTAAATTAGAAAGATGGGTCTGAAATATTATTATTATTTTTTTTTAATAACGGCAGGCACTGAACCCTCCTTCTTTGCCTTAGAAGATGCCGGAAGTGTTGCTCACTTATCGTTATCCAGTGGGAAATTGTGAACCAAAGTCACGGAGGCGAGCAACATTACCCACGTCACTCTACCACAAATACCCATTAGTAAGGTTGGGCCACATTCATACATTCACACAACAGAAGATAACACACAGAGAGAGAAACATCCATGTCCAGAGCGGGATTCGAACCTGCAGCCATTGGCTTCGCAGTAACCACTCGGCCACCTGGCCGGCGGGCCTGAAATGTAGGGGCTAGTAGTGAAAAACAGGTTTGGACAGTTTTCTATTGCTATACAGCAATGCTTGTGATGCAAACAATGATGAAAGAATGATAATTAAGAAGCTGTACATTCAGTCATTCCATTTCTGAAAATAATGAACGGGGAAAGAACAATCACAATAATTGTTGTTGGCAATTTCCTAAAAATATGGAACTAGAGTTAATGACTTGTAGTGTTTGGGAAATGTCTAAGCTTTCTTTTCTCTAGGACAATGGAAAAAAATAGTTAAATACTACAGCAAATTCTGTGAATGATCTATCTAATCACCATACTTTCTTAACCACAACAATGTTTCTTTTTCGCAAAATGTCCTGTTCACTACTTTTATGGGGGGGGGGGGGGATTTCTGTTAGAAAAGTTGGTAAGTTTGGTAAAAGTTTTCTTATATGAAGATAAAATAGGCAAAATAAGAGCTTTTAAAACCTAAACAAATTAGTATTTCTCCCTAAGTATTAGGTATATTTGAGCTTGATTACCCAAACTTCTTTCCTCCAAATATTCTTTAATAAATTTCAAATAATAAAATAAAATAGTTTTCAATTTCAATATTATGCTGTCATTATTCATTCATCATGAGGTCCTTAAAATGAGAAACTTTTTTTTTTATACACGGTTACATAGAATTTATAACTTTAGTGGGTAACAATTAAACATTTTGTTAGTTAAGTTATCTTAGGCCTGAAAGATCTGGATCTGTTTTTTCATTATTAAAAATATAGTTAACTTGACCACCATTGCTTCTACTTTTACTAAAAAGAAGTATATCATTATTTTCTGTGCATACGAGTTAACTGGAAGAATATAGAGAAAATAGAATTGGAAGAAAGTTTATAATGAAAGACATTTCAATTGAATTAACTCATGATTCAGAATTAGATGCAGCTTTACATAAATGGCCTATTCAAAAAAGGAGCAAATGAGTACTGCAATCTGAGACAATAGCGCAAGTCGATGTTAACATAGATAATACATAACTATTTAACATAAATACATTTATCAAATGGTCATACTAAAAAGTACTATAGAGCACTATCGTTAAAAAAAAAAAACTTGATTTTCAGATTTTACTGAGGAAAATAGATTAAAAGACAATGTTATATCTATAATGTAAATAGTTCAATAATTTGAAATAAATTGATCTTCATTACTTCTGATAATCAAAGTTCTGTTATATTTTTTTAGAATTCCCTTTATTCCTTGTCACCCCCCCCCTCTCTAACAGTTCAACAAATGCGAATTTCTAAATGGAAAACCAGTAATTAAGAACAGGATTAGAAGTAAAAAATTTATTTAAAAAAATTACATTTTGAAACTTTATAAGTTTGAAACAAATTTAACATCATATTTTATGCTATGTTAGCATTACTGATTAATATAACAAATTATGAATAAAATTAAAGTGTGAATGAACTTACCAGCTGATACAAATAATCCACCTGCAGAAAACATAAGAACTGATTCAACAGGAGCACCGTGATCAACTGACAAAGTACAAACACCTGCACGTGCGTCATATACTTTAACGGTGTGGTCATAAGAACCTGAAAGGGAAAAAATTATATTTGAGAACTATTTTATTTTCATCTACTCTTAAAATTTTAAAACTGTACAAGATTAGAATTTATTAGTTGATATCAGACTAGTAATTTTAAAACTGTGTGTAGTGATAGCATGGAAAGTCACGAACTTTCTAACAAGAAATTGAGTTGAGAGACTTAAATAATTGATTATAAAACAGCATCACAAATACAATCAAACTTCTATAACCCAAAAGTTTATAACCCAAATAAATTTTTGTTTAAACACATCAAATCTGATCTATAAATTAAATTCTTGGTTTAAACCAAAATTACAACCTGAAAAAAAAAATTATGTGCACCCAAGATTTCTAGAGATAGCACCAAAATATAGGATATAAATATAACAATGCTAATGCACAAATAATTGTTTAGCTCCCTTTCACAATATGTATTAATTCAGGGCTACCACTCAAATCTGGAGGAAAAAAAATTCCCTGTGTTTTCCCTGTACACATTATACACAACATATTAAAAGGAAACAACAATTACTGTGTTATATTGGGTTAACTATATTTAGTAGTTTCAAAAAACAGCTGAATATACTTAAATATAGCTATAGTAAATAAAATAGTTTAGTACAGCTGAAATATTATGCCTCGATTGGTCACCATTTTATTTATACAAGACTTAATTCCAACTTTAAAAATAGTCCATGACCTCTAATTGAGTGTAGCTTGTAAAATTTCATAAGCAAATTTCATAATCTTTCTTAAACATTATTTGAGAGTCCTAATAATTCTGAAGCAACAAAATGGATAGAATAGATCAAATATTTCAATTTCTTTCATAGATTTGTAAATGGTTCCTCAGATCAACAAAAATTATTTTCTTGCAATTTTAGAGTTATAAAGTTTTTTGATGGAAAAAAGTGGAATTCAACAAATTTGTAGAAAAATACCACATCTAATGAAAAAGTTTTCAAACTTTTTTGAAAATGTCAATATAACAAATGAACATTCATCAAAGTGATAGTTTATAATACAAATGAAAACTGAACATGTTACACAAAATGATACAAAATATTTACCCGAAATGAATAAATCTTGAGATAGTTGACTGACTGTACCAGCTCTAATATAGTCCTATAAAAAATTTATAAAAAATATAAAATATGTGAACAATGAAACTAGCCTAATTAATAAATTCATTCATTATCATATAAATTAAACATTTAGCCTGATATTAATAACATTTAAATGGAGTTAACTCCTGTTTATCTAAGGTATAAGGTAAAGCTGAAACTTTTATGTCAAAAAATCAATATGAAGATATCAATTTATATACCATACACGTTTCATATTTAACCTAAGTTTTTGAAATAACATTTACAAATAAATTAGCTACTAATGAAGAATTCTTATATCAATAAAAAACTTACTTCTTACAAGAATGGCGATATTGGATTTTAAATTTGCATGAATTTGACTTATGATATTGGATTTTAAAATTGAGCAAATGTGAATTGTGATACTAGATTTCAAAAACCAAAAAATACAAATTGCGATATCAAACTTTTAAATCACATAAATAAGAATCATAATATGTAAATACGAATTGCAATGCGTAGTTTAACAAATGATGTATAAATACGAAAATTGATGTTTAATATTACAACCGAGAGAATACGAATTGCAATATTGAATTTTAAAAACTCGTGAATATGAATCACGACATTGGACTGTAAAAACATGTGAATACATATCACGACATTGGATTTTAAACTGCGTGTATATGAATCACGATATTGTATTTTAAAATCGTGTGAATGCGATTACAATGAGCAACTTTTAAATCAGGTAAAAATGAAAATCGAAGCTGGATAATTAAAATCATGATATTAAGAATCGCCATATAAGCATATTATGACGCAGTGTCAAATATTCAAAAATCCGCCAAACCAAAAGAATTATATTGGCGGAAGAATTACATGAATACAAACGACTTCTTAATGGTATTTAGCAAAAGTTTTATTGGATTATAAGTTTTTGATTCACGGAAGTCTGCAAACCTATGGTCTTGAGATATGCAGAATTCTGCGATATTTGCAGAAAAATCACCAGCCCTGCTTCTAGTTATTAGACCAGGAAGAATGATATGAAAAACCCGGAATTCTGGGATACAACCGGAGCACAATCAATCCAGATTTTGAGAACAAATTCACTCACAGACATTAATTTACAGGGACAAAATATTATAGGTATTAAGTCAGTACTTAATTTATTCTGAGAGTAAATTTTTGTAAAATTATGGATGTAGGTTATTTGGACCTGTAAAACTTTATTTCTATTTGATGGTCTTCTTGTCCTTTCATTTCTTTCAGGAAAAAAAGTAGCTTTACAATGAGTAAATAGGAACTTCTATCATTACAAAAACAAAGGAAAAACTAATTCATAACTTTTCCTGAACCTTTAGAAGAGGAGGAACTTAAACATGAAAAAACAAAATGTTTACCTTTATTTTTTTAACTTAACTATTTTGCTTTTTGGAGAGAGAAAAAAAAGTCCAAAAATTTCTCTGCTAAATACTGAATAACCATTAAATATCTAATGGAGAGGAGAACCTGGTTTTAAATGAAGAAAAAAAAATTGCAACCCCAAGCTAAATTTACCTATTTAGGTCAATAGGTAAAGAAAAACATTTTAAAAAAAAAGTAACACTTGGAGTTTTTTAAGTATTTGACCTGCGACAAAACACGATTCAAACTTCAGTAGTCATTGAGACCAGCAACCAATAACAGTGGTTAATCTCAACCATGTTAATAAAAAGTTAATATTTATTATTTTTTTGTACGAATCCATCTGCATAATTAAGCAATTAAATTTGTAATAAAAAACTTGTTACCAATAACTATTTCTGATATGTAACTGCTGTTACATATTGCAGAACTGTTGCCATTATGCAACAGCTTGCATGGGAATGAAAGCAGCTGATGTACGGGCACCAATCATGAGGACTAATTTCCTTAATCTTTCTGACCAATAATAGGCTGCATTAAAATACTTTAAGGTTACCAAGTTAGTGCACCAATTTCATTGCAAATCCAAGTGGTTTTCGATTGCAATTCTGCTGTTAATGCTATGGATATTTTAAAGTAATTTTTTTAATTCCCATTTTTTTCTTACCAAATTATTATTACTTAACATGAAATCAGAAATTTGAGGATCACAGGAAAGAATAAAGAAGAGGAAATGATTGATTGCTTTCTCTGATAATTGTTGAAAACATGGGCCAGAATGGAAAAAAAATATATCAGTGATTTCTCAGACAAATTTTTTAAATAAATATTAAAACATAAAAAAAAAAGTTTTTTCAAAATAATATTTTTAAAGAAAGCTGAAATAAAAACAATTTACCTTGTGTTCTTCAAAGCTTTTTATTTTTGTTTCTGTTGGAATANCATTTCTCAGACAAATTTTGTTTAATAAACATTAAAATATATAAAAAAAGTTTTTTCAAAATAATATTTTTAAAGAAAGCTGAAATAAAAACAATTTACCTTGTGTTCTTCAAAGCTTTTTATTTTTGTTTCTGTTGGAATATCCCATAAAGCAACAGTTTTATCATCTGAGAAGCTTACAAGATGAACACCATCAATGGTAAAACTGCATCGATGAGTAGGACTAAAATAAAATTCAAAATTATTAAAAACAATATTAATAACCAGAGAAGCTGCATAATTAGTTTCATAAAGTCAGTTCTTACATAAAGTGTGAAAACATTAAAAAAATAGTTAAGATAGAATCTGAACTAAATTGAAAAAGATATTATGAAAATATAATTTACTTTCTCCAGGTAAAGCAAAATGTAAGTATTTCTATATTCCACTAAAAATTATAATGCAGAAAAAGTTTGTACATAATTTCAAGAGGAAGTACTAAAATAATAATTATAGAAAATTTAGTTTATAATTAGTTAAATTGTATAAAAATAATTAATCATAATATTAAAATTTAATCCCAATTATGCAATGCCTAAAATAACACAATCTCAATAACTTAAAATAACATAATCTCAATCATAACTTAAAACTCCATACATTTAAATTCAAATATTACATCAAAAATTATTTTATAGTAATACATAAAGCATAATTCAAACTTACAAGAAAGGAAATATAACTGTATCAATATTAACTACTAAAAACAGGCTTTATTAAATTAGAAAAAAAAGTAACAAAATAAATTTCCCTGATATTTTTCCATATTTCAATAACTTAAAATTATTGTGTTCATGAGAATAATCCACATAACAGTAAGTGTCTAAATATTTTATCATTATTAATGTATCATACGCTTTATGCCCTTTAAACATCCTCAATAGTCGGCTAGTTTCTACTTGAAATAGTCTTAAAAATCCATCTTCACTTCCAGCAACGAGCAGTTTTCCATCCCTGCGAAAATTTCCACCATAAGCTGTCTTTTTAAATCTTGAAAATGTTGACTGAGGCTCATTATTTGTCGTATTATATAACTGAACCTAAAATAAAAAGTTGAATATGAAGACCGTTAATTTTAGTATGAAAATGATATCAAATTTAGCATTTACATAGAATTACTTAATTTAGTATTTACATATTTAAGAAGGAAACTCAAAGAACTAATTTATAAAGAAAAAAAGGGACCAAGGGAGTTTGTATATTAAACCCTAATCGGTCTAAAATTAGTAAAAATAGAAGATATTAAGCAAAAATATAAGCTAGAAAATGTATCAAAATGGTTTATAACAATTTTTACTTACACTGAATAATAATAAAAATAAAAAATGAACAAAAAAGTTGTGATCGCCTTGTTACAAGCACTGGTTACCCATTGGTCAAATGCTTTATCTTTCTAGATTGACTCCGTTAAAAGCCACAACATTTTAAATCAAAAACTGTCTCAATTGATGTTTGTCGTCGGATCGATTTTCATATCCTGCCTATGTACATGTTTCAATATGTCACAAAATACATTTCCTTCTTCAGCATTCATATTTATATTAAAATCACTGTCAAGCCAGTAATTATATGTTAACATAAATAATATAAAAATACTTAAAATTATTTTTATGTAAATACATTAAGAATGACTGCTGGTGAAAATAAAAATAAATACAACAGCGGTCGCCATAGCAACACATGTAATGACAATGCATGCCATCAAATCCAAACCAAGATCCATTTTGCCAATAGGTAAAAGCTAAATTTTTCTTGGATTGAAATTTGTGCCTTCCTCATACACAAAACACTCATGGCAAGGTTATCATTGAGAGACAAGTTACCAATTTTTGGTAAACTTCATGTCTTTCTAAGTCAAGAGATGTGATTTGATCATTACTTTTTTACCACTGTCCCAATTTGCATTTTACAAACATTTGGTTAAAACCATGCACACAGACACTCGAGTAATAATAGGAAAAATCTAGTTTATGACTGCATGGCAATATGTTCTATTAATCCTTGGAATGACCACTCACAATTTTTTCTTGATAGAATGATTCATGGCTTGACAGATAAATCATGACATTGGTTTGCTACATTGCTTTACATACAATGTTTGCAAAAAGTGAACAAAAGAATTGTATTTTATATATTCTAAATGGAATAAATTTAAGGAACAGGTGAAGTGTCAGTGTTTTCACTACAGCGCGAGAACGCGAGAATCTCGCATATTTTTTTCTTTTCTCGCATTAAAAAATGATTACCGCGAGAAATTCGCGCATTCTATAAACCAATTTCAAAATTCGCGAATTTCTCGCATTTTGAAAGAAATTTCTCATTGCGCCATTTAGAATAAAATCCGTTACATTTTNCCATTGGTCAAATGCTTTTTCCTTCTAGATTGACTCCATTAAATGCCTCAACATTTCAAATCATGGGTTGCAAAAACTGTCTCAATTGATGTTTGTCGTTAGATTGATTTTCATATCCTGCCTATGTACGTGTTTCAAGACGTCACAAAATACTTTTCTTTCTTCAGCATTTATATTTATATTAAAATAACTGTCAAGCCAGAAATTATACGTTAATAAAAAAAATATAAATTTTCCTAAAATTTTTTTTATGTAAATACATTAAAATTGCCTGCTGGTGAAAATAAAAATAAAAACAGCAGCGGTCGTCATAGCAACACATGTAATGACGATGCATGCCATCAAATCCAAACCAAGACCCATTTTGTCAATGGGTAAAAGCTAAATTTTTCTGGGATTGAAATTTTTGCCTTCCTCGTACACAAAACACTCATGGCAGGGTTATCGTTGAGAGACAAGTTACCAATTTTTGGTAAACTTCATATCTTTCTAAGTCAAGAGATGTGATTTGATCATTACTTTTTTACCATTGTCCCAATTTGCATTTTACAAACATTTGGTTAAAACCATGCACACAGACACTCGAGTAATAATAGGAAAAATCTAGTTTATGACTGCATGGCAATATGTTCTATTAATCCTTCAAATGACCACTAACAATTTTTTCTTAACCGACTCCAATTAATAGAATGATTCATGGCTTGACAGATAAATCATGACATTGGTTTGCTACATTGCTTATATACATACAATGTTTACAAAAAGTGAACAAAAGAATTGTATTTTATATATTCTAAATGGAATAAATTTAAGGAACAGGTGAAGTGTTTATTAAGGTAACTACTTAAAAAAACTGTCACGACACACCAGGTATTTCAAAAATTAGGGCTCACAACTTCTTCAATTTAGGGTAATCAATAGTTCTTCAACAATCGGTAATAGTTTTTAACCTAACAGAACCATCTACACATTGGATAACTAAATCGATATAATAAATTTAAAAGGCTGTCTTATTAGTGATAATATAATTGTGTCAGAAAACTAGATCCCTAAAAACAAAAAGTGGGTCAAAGAAAATTTAAGAGTATGAGTATAATAGGCAATATAAAAGCTAAAAAATACATGTAGGAAATATCTATACTGAAGTATTATTTCCCTAAATTCTGAGGTAAGTGAAAAATACTTTGTTTTAGAGTCAAATTAACTGCCCAAATTGAATTATTTAGCCTTAAATTTGAATTTTCCGTGGCAATTTTAGTTATCGGAAAAATTTTCCTAACTTTTTCCTCGTTATTTAGATGTCTCAACCAAAACTCTTACATTAACTACAATACATTATTTTCTGGAGATATTTTCGTATTGTGATCTGTCGCGCCAACTACAATAGCCAAGCTGCCAAATAGAATTTTTTTGAATAAAACATGTTTATGTTTTCTCGGGGGTGGCTACGAGTTATACCTTTCGAGTTAGTTGGTTGGTAATAATGTGATGTTTTTTTTTAGTTTCTCGCGGGCCACTGCCCGGAAGTTTCCAAGACTTGGCGATTATTCTGCCACAGATCACGATGCGGAAATCTCTCCAGCTATTATGCAATTTATAGGCAAACAATAACACAGATTACATATACCTTGGATGAACATGAAATTGCAACACTAGATGGTAATTTTGGGTTGAAATCAACGTAATCTATCGCTCCATATTCTTTAAAAGCATAAGGAAACTGAAAAATAGGTACGTCTTTTAAAAATACTCATTAAAAACAAGCAATCATTTTCATATATCATATCGTACAATTAGTGAAAAACAAAAGTCAACACAAACATACTCCTAATTTTTTCCAGTGTAAATTATCTTCAGTAACCTTCTCTCCTGGACGTGGATATTTTAAAATTTCAATAGATTTAAATTCAGTCATTATGTAAAGTTTTTATGTTTTGTTTTTGACTTTTAAAAGCAATCTCTTCGAACTAAGTACGCAATTCAACACAAAAGCACAAAAATTTATTAAACACATGCAATTTTTGCTCTAGCGTACGCTTCCGGTTGTTTATTTTTGTTCAAATTAAGACCTGCTATTTTTGTAAAATGTTTGGACAAGAGGATAACATTAATATTTCCGTTTCTCTTATTTTTTAAAAAATNGCGGTCAGCCAAGACAGTGCGAAAGGGATAACATTAATATCCTTAATATTTCTGTATCTCTTATTTTTTTAAAAATGATTCCTTTTATAATTAAATATTTTCAGACATCTAAGATTTCAACTGTGTCATAAAACAAATGGAGAAATTAAATAATTTAATAACCCAAACGCAGAGATCTTATGTACAGAAATAAAAACCAGAAGCGTCGTGAAAATCTGCTTCTAGTTTTCAAAAAGGGTAAAAGAAAGACAATTTGGTTATCTGTATTAAATCTTATTGAAATCAGATGAAAAGGATTCTAACCTATAAGCAAGATTTCTATTTTAAATCTCTCAGTGTATGTATTTGTCTACAGAAAAATGAAAGTCTGAACTTTGTGCCACCTATCCAATTTTTAAACATAAGTAAATTTTTTTTTAGTGTATTGCAGTGATGTATATTTGGGTATCAGTTTTCTAAATCTATGCATGTGCACAGTGAAATTTATAGTTGTGTTAAAAATTTGTTACAGATAATTGCATAAATATTGATAAATCAATTATATTTCACCATTGAAGTGTGTATTAATAAAATGCACACTTTAAACTATATTGCCCCTTTCTGTCCATTGTTTGTTGAAAATGTTACAAACATAATGCATCTTTTATATAACTAAACATGAAATGTGGATTTTTGAATATTATTTTTCAAACCACAGTGTTTTATATTATATTTGAGATATTTTTGTTGAAGTTTTGACTTGTCAAACCATGTAATGAGCAATGAGAGATAATTCATTTATATTTGTAGTGAATGCACGGAATTTAAAAAAAAGAAAAAGAGAACACACTCAAAGTATGTAGCTTATAACGATTCCGGGAAAACTACATATTTAATTTTAAATATTTGCAAGTTTAAAAACAGGATAAATATGATTGAAGGCGTAAGTATATACTCATACAGTATATACTCCATTACTGAAGTATCCACTTGCTATAGTTTACTAAGTCAATTTTACATTGTGGTTGTTCTAGAAAAAAGAGTGGTATTATAAATTTGAAACAAATTTTTAATAATGATTTTTTTTTGTATGCTTTATATTTATATTTTATGAAAATGGAATAGGAGATTGAAATATATCATTATTAACTAGTGAAATTAAAAAAAAAAAAAAAACAGTCAAGAATGCAGAAATCAGAATTTCCATGCTTTAAGGAAAATTTTAACTTTTAAAATGACAAAATTGTTTTAAATAAGCACGAAAAACTTGTTCGAAAGAAACATGTGCCATAAGAAAAAAAAAATTTTTTTTAATTTAATGTAAAACTTTTTTTTCATTCAGTACATATCGAAATAATTTATTTTTTAACATTGAGAATAAAAGTACCAACATTAAAATAAAATGTTTTGATGATAATTAGTACAGATTACAACTTTTGTGAGTAAAAACTTTTAAAGATGTCATAATAATATAAAAGAAAATTGCATTAAACTTTCGTATGATTGTTATTTGAATTCTGAAGGTAAAACACGAATTTTTAGAATGTTATTTGATAAGTGATTGAGTTAATTAGAATCCCTGTAATTTTGAGAATGGAATAATATGTCTTATAAAATAAATTTAAGTACTATAAATTAGTAAAAATGTTTTTAATAATCTCATTGTAACGTATCATAAGCTATATCAAGAACTATTCAGTTTTTCTTTTAAATAAAAACTTTTATTAACAAACACAAACATTAAGAAATATGCAATACCCGTAACGGGATAGTGAAAACATCATAAACAACTAGAAAACCCATAACGGGATATAAGGAAACTCAAATTCCACAATAAAACTAATCTAAAAAGAATCAACAACTCTGTCGTTCTAAATATTGACTTCTAATTTAATCGTCTGCTTTTATTTTAAGTTTATCTCTTTATGCGTTTACTTTATTTTAATTATGATTTTGCAAACCCATTATTTCTTTAATATTTTTAGACTTTACAATCGTCTGCTTTTATAAATTCTTTAATATTTTTAAACTTTACATCATTATAAATTATTTGCAGATTTACATAAATCATTAGTTTTTTTGTTAGTTTAATTACTTTGCTCTTTTGTATCAATTATAACTTTTCCTCCATCACTTTTGATAATTTACAATTTAATTGCATTACATGTTTCAGAATTGGGTATAATATGAAAAAAACACAACTACTTCGATTTAGTAGGAACAACATATGACGCAATGCTAAACGAATGGAATTTAGTTGTTGTTTATTTAGTTATTGTTATTAGTAGTTGTTGTTATTTGTTTCAGTTGTTGTTGTTTATTTAGTTGTATTTAGTTTCAATAACTTTTCTTTATAATGCAATAAAATCTGGCGAGCAGCTATTTAAACGATCGAACACTTCGTTTGTTTATTTGTGGCTTGAAGTTAGGCTCGCAGAAAATGCCGTTCATGGGTTAAATTTAGTAGGAACAACACTACCTGTGACGTAGGCTATATTATACCCAATTTGACATTTTTTCAGAACATCGGTGCATTCACTTAGGAAAGTGTATTCACTTTAAGGCTTAAAATGTTTGCTTTAAGTTTATAAATAAAGTTATATAAAATCTTCATAATGACTGATACTGGGCCGGTAAAACCTGGTTGGTAGGACACTGGGCCCATGTTTAAGAGTAGTTTAAGTAATTTAAATTTTGAGCTCTGTTCTTTTTTTTCTCCATCTCATTAGTCAGTCGGAAATTAATCTGAAAATCTGTCATTTTTTATCAATTGTTGCTTTTAAAAATTAATAAGGAATTTTAAGTTTTTAAATGCTAGATGTTTTGCTTGAGTTTTCAATTTTGAATTTTTTGAATGTGACTGAGTTGAATTATGATTAAAGGCATAAATATCCCTTTCAGGAATATTTTAACAAGTTTCGTAATTGTAAACAATTTTTGCTAGGAGCAAATGACTTGCCTTTTGACATCATTGATAAAACTGAATGTTGATTTTATTAGTAAGTTATCAAAAAGAAAACTAAGGAGGCATGAGAGATACATAGTCAGCAAACGGCACATTCTGGTGAAATAGGATTATGTTCACAGTTTGTGCATTCACTTAATAGGTATATCACACGATGGAAATTATTGGCAACAAAACCAACAAGTTAATCGCAAGCGTATCCTACACTTTCAACAAAAATTGCTGGAAAGTCGTGTGATATCGAAATCACAGCTGCCCGAAATATTGTTTTGCTTTATATATTCAATATGTTACTTAAACTGTGTATAAACGGGTGATTTAAGTAATTTAAAATTTGTGCTCTGTTCTTTTTTGTTTGTTTTTTTCATCTCATAAGTCAGGCTGAAGTTACTTTAAAAGTTTTTAAATGCTAGAGATTTTGTTTGAATTCTTAATTTTGGATTTTTCGAATTGGGACTAAGTGGAATTATGGTGAAAGACATAAATATCTCCCACAAGAATATTTTAACAACAAGTTTCCAAATTGTAAAAAAATTTTGCTAGAATCAAATGAATTGCAATACCCTTTGAAATCATTGATAGAAGTAAATGCTGATTTTATTAGTAAGTTGTCAAAAAGGAAACTAAGGGGGCATGATAGATATGTGATCAGCAAAAGGCTCATTCTGGGGAAATAGGATTCCGTTCACAATCCGTGCATTCACTTTAAGAGGACGTCATACCCAGGAAAAAAATCCAAATTGTCAAAATCAGTGATAAGTCTCGCACTTAGGTGCATCTCCTTTAGGTAGGGAATAATTGGTACAGTGATTTATAATAGAGGGCCACTTAGACTGTTACATCCATGGTACGAGGAAAACTGAACAATGTAAGCATTAGTTTCTTAAGGTCATTCTGCTTCCAGATTTGTGGTCTTTATTTTTAAACCGTTTTTAAATTTGATTATGAAATATCTAGAATAAAAGTTCTAATTATTTATTTATTTCAACTGAAAATGTAAATAATTAATAGGTGTTTACAAGATAATAGGGATCAATTTATATATTACAATTAATTCGTTTCAAATTAGAACACCAAGAAATGTATAAATTTTCATTTTCATGTATAAAATTAATGTTTGAAAATAATTAATTAAAGATTACTTAGTTTTAATAATCAGCGCTATAAGAATATTTTAACAACAAATTGTAAAAAATTTTTGCTGGAAGCAAATGATTTGCAATATCTTTTGACATCGTTGATAAAAGTGAATGTTGATTTTATTTGTAAGTTGTCAAAAAGGAAACTAAGGGAGTATGATAGATCCATGGTCAGCAAAATTCTATGTGGAGTTCCGTTGTAATAACTTTTGAAAAAGAGAATAACAACACTTGGTAAATTGAGTGTGAAGTCGTAATGAATCAAGTCCATCAAAAAATGATTGCTCAAAGCTGTGATTCGACATTTCCTGTGTGTGCTGATGCCATTTTAAAAATATTGCAATTTTGAAAACTATGTTATTTTTTATGGCAGTAACTCTCAAAAAAGCAATAAAGTCAGTCCAAATCTAAATATATTAAACTGCAATTATTCAAAAGTTTGATTTGATGTTTGTGTGTCAAATTATCAAGTTAAGATAAATGGGATTTTAAAGGATGTGAAAATTCGTTGCAGAAATTGCAGGGAAAATGATCAAAATAGGGCTTGGATTTATGATAAAATCGGGCAAATTGAACCGATTTTTATTTTTTTACATTAGGTCTGTAGCAAGATATCCACTTTAGTTTAATAGGGTTCAATATTTTGGTTGCTGTTTTCTATGCGTGCAAGATGACTATGCTGGTGCAAGAGCCATTTTCTATGTAAAACACTAATCAATAGAGATGATTGTGAGATACCAGAATAATACCAATTCTTTCTTTTTCAATGATGAAAATCCCGTAATTCCTGAAGAGATAATTTTTTCCAATTTTTTATTTATTTTTAAGAACAATTAAAAATTTAGCTTCTCTAAAGAAAGTTCCACATTTTAGTGTTTTCGTAAGCAAGGTATGAAAAAATAGAAAGAATGAAAAATTTGCCCAAAAAAGAAAATTTATAAGCTTTGTTTTTATCAAACAATATTTTTGAAAAATGCCATGTCAAAGAGGTGCCAGAACAAGTTTTTATAATTTTGGTTAGGCTTTATCATTAATGCATAACATTTTGGTGTAGAAAGAAAAGCCTACGGATATTAAATAAATTTATGCCCACTTTTCTAAATTTTTATTTACAGATTCACAACAATAATCACAATATATTGTTTCTGGTTGCTCTGGTGCATTTAAATAAATTAGAAAATTGCCCTTTTTTGCGATACATTTTTATTTCTTCACAAAATACACAACAATTACATTATTTTTATTTAAATTTAATGTAAACATAAAACTTAATTTATATTTCTTATTTTTAGGTTTTGTAGAAATTTGGGAAGCATATGTTAAAATAGACTTGACTTATTTTTCCTGTCTTGAAGTCTGGAAAAATATCTAAATTTAGCTGTAATGCTAGGAAAAGGATTTAATATTAAGAAATAATGAAATTTCATCATTCTCTGCTTAATGAATCTATAAATTTATATCTAGAGTGATTTACATAAAAGTAATTTGAAAAGTATCCAGGAAATTATTTATTCTAATTAAAGATGGAGAAAAAACGTAAAAGAAGTGTAGTAATTCCTGAAAAAATAATGCTTGTGATTGAACACGGAAGTTCTGATGAGTTTGATAATTTATTTCAAGAATTTGCTGGTTGTAATATAGTTTCTGATGATTTTTATATTAAACTATTACACACTTCTGCCCTATTTGGTCGCTGTGATTTGATTCAATTTATTCTTAGTAGAATAAATTACTTCAAAAAGAAAATTGGTGTTAATGATGTTGATTTAGATGGCTGGACATCTTTACACTATGCAGCAAAAGGAGGTCAGTTAGAAGCAGTAAAATATTTAATTGAAAATGATGCCAATATCAATGCTATAAGTTTTGCAAATGGAGCAAAATATTATCATATTGCAGCCAGTTATGGTCACAAAAAAATTCTGGACTATTTTTTAGATGGAGGTGGTAACATAGCCGAAACTGATAGTGTTGGGTCGTCGTTATTGCATTATGCAGCTAAAGGGGGTAATCTAGAGGTAGCAGAATTTCTTATTCACAATGGTGTTGATATTAATGTTAATGACTTTGAAGGTAAAAAACCTCTTCATGTTGCAGCTAGTTATGGTCACAGCACAATCGCTAATTTTTTTATTAATAAAGGTGTGGATGTAGATGATATTGATAAAAACGGTTGGACACCATTGCATTATGCAGCAAATGAAGGAAAGTTAAATGTAGTTGAATGCCTTTTAAAGAATAAAGCCAACGTTAATGCTGAAACAAAAGATGGAAGTAAAGCAATTCATTTTTCTTCTAGAGAAGGCCATCGAAAGTTAGTAGAATTCCTTCTTTGTAATAAAGTCAGTGTTAAAGATTGCAACAGTAAGAATGGCTGGACTGTTTTACACTATGCTACACTAAAAGATAATTTTGATGTTATTAATGATTTGATTTCCAAAGGAGTGAATATTCATGAAAAATCAATCAATGGAATGTCATCTTTGCATGTTGCAGCACAATATGGAAGTACTAATGCTGCAGAAGTATTGCTTAAACACGGAGCAGAAGTTAACGAGAAAGATGAACGAAACTGGATTCCATTACATTATGCTGCACATGAAGGTCATCTAAAAATGATTGAGCTTCTATTTGATGAAAATTCTAACATAACTAATCAATGTTTACAGGGTCTGAAGCCAATTCATGTTGCAACACAGAATAATAAAAAGGAAGTGATTGAATTTTTTATCAATAAAGGAGCTAATATAAACGAGGTAAATAGTAAAACTGGTTTGACATCATTGCACTATGCTGCAGAAAAAAACCTTATCAACATTATTCAATTTCTCATGGATAGAAATGCCAATATGTTTGCTCAGTCAAATGATGGACTGATGCCTATTCATGTTGCTGCTCTGAATGGTCACAAATGTTCTGTAGAGGTGTTCATTCAACAGGGACCATACATTAATCTACAGACTGATCAAGGCTGGACCCCTTTGCACTTTGCTGCTTTGAAGGGTCATTTAGACTTGGTTCAGTTTCTTGTCAATAAAACTACCTGTCTTAATAGTAAAATAAAAGATGGCTCAAAAGCTATCCATGTAGCTGCTGTGAATGGTCACAAAAGTATTGTGGACTATTTTCTTCATAAAGGTATGAATATTAATGATTGCAATTTTAAAGGTTGGACACCTTTGCATGCGTGTATACCAAAAAATCAGTTAGAAATGGTTGAATTTTTAGTTCAAAATAATGCAAATTTGTATGCAAAGAATGCAGAAGGTCTTTCTCCTCTTCTCTTAGCTGCTAAGTTTGGTCAAATGGATATTGTGAAATTTTTACTTAGCAAGGGCTCTGACGTAAATGAGTGCTGTAAAAAAGGTTGGACGCCTTTAAGTTATGCTGCATTCAGTGGTTCAGTCAAAATTATTAATCTTCTAATAGAAAGTGGTGCTGAAAGTGATACAAAATCTGGCTATATAGGTAATCCTTTACATATTGCTGTTTATGAAGGCCACATAGATGCTGTCAAAACTTTTGTCGAATTTGGAATAGATGTGAATTTATTTGGCTCTAATAATAACACACCGCTGGGCTACGCTGCTGAAAGGGGCCACTTGGAAATCGTTAAATATCTTGTAGAAAAAGGAGCAAATAATTTAAAAAATTCTAAAGGGAAAAAACCGATTCATATTGCAGCTGAAAAAGGTTGCATGTCTATTGTTGAGTATTTTCTTGATAATGGTGTTTATATTGATGATACAGATGGAGATGACTGGACACCTTTACATTATGCTATCAGAAGTCTGCAGTTTGATCTGGTGAAGTACTTAATAAATAGGGGATCGGATATTAAAGCCAGGAGTAAATATGGAGCTTCAGCTTTATGCATAGCTTCTTTGTATCGTCTACCTAATATTGATTATCGATTTTGTGCGTGCAGTCAAAATTATTATGATAATCAAGATGATTATTTTATACTCTGTGAACAGGCTAAGCATGATCATGAAAAAATGATTGATTTTTTGATTCAAAAAGGTGGATTAATCAATGATGCTTACTGTGAGGGTTGGTCTCCTTTACATTTTGCTTTTTATAATATATTTGGTAGGAATGTTGACTACATTATAAAAAAACTGATAGATGCGGGTTCAGAACTGAATATGCAAAATAAAAATGGAAGGACACCATTGCACATTGCTGCTAGAGTTTATAACATTAATGCAGCTAAAATATTACTAGATGCAAAGCCAGACTTAGATATGCGCGATGGAAATGGTGATACACCTTTGCATATTGCTTGCAAGACTCGAAAGATAGAAATCATGAAACTTCTTTTGGAAGCTGGTGCTAGGTCTGATATTAAAGACAATAGTGGAAGAACAGTTGGTTTCTATTGTTTGCATAATTTCATGGATTTCAAAAATGGTTTTGCAGAAGAAGACAAAAATCGTCGGTATGCTAAAATTTTAGAAAAAATTACTGTCTTTACTGATATTGATGACAAAGAAAAAAAGTCTGCTGTACATTTAACATTGGAGAATTGTTGTAATTTCCGGTTTTGTTATTTTGTTTTGTGTCTTCAAGGCGATCTGAATGTGCAAGACATTAATGGCAACACACCATTGAATTTTATGACCGAAAGACTATCATTGGGACCGTGTTCTTTGAGCATTGCCACAATCAAATTATTTATTGACAATGGTGCATATTTCGAAATTAAAGACTGTCAAAGAATAGCTGATTATCGCCAAGTTCGAGACATTCTATTTACTGATGCAAACTTGTGTGCAAAATCTATTTTAAATAGTTTAAATTACAATTATTTGCCTATATTGTATAATTCCTCTTTATCTGCATATCTTCCCCCTATTGATAGCTGTAAAATTTATTTTTCTAACTCAGTGAAAAAAAGTGTTGAAATGGAGATATTAAATAAAGGCTATTGTGACGTTTCAAAAATGATGTTGCCTTTAAATTTCTTATCAATAAAGTGCCTTGCCAACCATTATAAAGAATTCTGAATTTCTAGTCTCAAAATAATGGTTTCTACCATTTTAACTACATTTGCATTTGTTTCAAATTTCTTAAGATTTTCCACACCTATTGAAATTTTTAAACTACAATTATTTCTGTATAACAAATGGTATGGAATGGTGTTTCTAAAAGTGCATAAAAAAGTTAAATATTACATCTAGAAATAGATTTCTTGATTGATGATTTGCATGTTACAGTCTATCTGCAATTGAATTAAAGAGCAGCATAATAATAATAGGCTGATAAGCTTTAATCACAAGGAAAAACAAGAAGCTTATCTAGAAGTAATTATTTTGTCAAACTGTTGACTATTAATCCAGAAGTGGATTTCTCGACTAAAGATTTGCAGATTACAATTTATCTTTTCAACAGAAACTATTGAATTAAAGAAAACAATTGAATTAACTATTTGAACTAAAACAATTGAATTTAAGAGAGGGTTAATAAGCGTAATGTCTTAAAAAATTCTCTTTTTTTGATCAGCTATAATGACTATTAAGGAATAGAATTTCAGTTTTTTGTGAATAAACCTTTATTTTTGAAAAATATGACGTTGAAAATTTCCTTAAAAAAACACTAACCTAAGGTAAAGTAAATGAAACCGAGAAAATCTGTTAAAAGTAAACAAAACATTTGCTGTGTTAAACATAATATGTTTATAGTTTGTTTACGTAAAGAAATACCCTAGCCATTCGTCTGAAGCAGTGGCGGTGACTATGGTTACGAGGTTTAACTATTTCGAGTAGGGGTATCGGGTCAATATTTAAGATAGGGTTTGGCTCTTGTCAGCGAGAGAAAGGGAATCTGGTGAGGGAGAAGATCCCCTCTTTTCTTGTTTCCGTAGCAGCAGATGACGACCTTAGACTTCGTGGCGAGGGGAGTTATTTCCATAGACAAACTGTAGTTTAAAACAAGCCATGCTTTTGTTGTTTTTTTGTTCTTTTATAAGCTATTGCACTGTTATGAATTTTATTAGGTTGGTTATAAAATATCTCCCAACATGTTTTTACACTAAGTTTTTTATCTGTTACAGTAAACATTGTGCTGTGATAAATAGGTAATTTAAAAAAGGACTGTGTCTTTATTTTTGTATTGCTTATATAAATCATAAATATTTTTTTTTCTTAGTGTTGTAATCTTAATACCTCAAAAATAACTTTTTTCCTCACCAAAATTTTAAGATAAAAAGAAAGCTGTGTGCTGATCACAAAACATACCTAAAACAGTTTCATCTAAAATTTGGAAAATGTAGTGAAAAGAGTGCTTGCACTATTCAATATCCAATTTTAAACTAAGTAATAATAATGTAACCGTACAAAGCATTTATGGCATAAAGTATAAAAAGGATGCTTAAGGTTAAATGAACTGAAAAGAAAAGTGTTTTGCTTATGAATTTTTTCATCCAAAGAAAGAAAAAACTTGAGACAGTAGTAATTTTCTTTAAAATAAATTATTTAAAAAGAAGGAAAGTGCTATTTAAATTAAAGTTTGAAAAAAATATGAACTGATGTTTCTGTCAAAGAAAAATACTTAATGTTTGAAAACCTTGTTAACAAGATGATTCGAATTTTGTTTCTAAGTTTTTCAACAAGATGATGCTTAAATTCAAGGTGTTTTCTGTGGAGAAAAATGATTTTATTATGTATAAAAAAGATCTCTATTTATAATTAAAAAATTTTGTTGAAGTGTGATTAAGTGTTTTTTTCTTAGCTTTCTGGTACTGAAAACTTATTTTTGAGCTTTGTTTTGAATGCAAATTTAAAAAAAGAAATCTTTATTATTATATATTCATATTCTTTTATATTTTTTACCACCTGCTGGCAAAACGTATTTTTGAACCATATAAAAGAAATAATTGATCATAAATCATTGATATCGTATTTAAATTAAATTTAAAAGTGTCTATTACCCATTGACAAAATGGATATTGGTCTGGATTTCATAGCGTCCTCACTTTTCAACTACAATAATCTGGAGTAATAGTAAACAGCGCTATGGCGACCGCTGCTGTTTGATACTTTTTTTCAAAATTCTTTTTTCACATTAAATTTTGTTGTGCATTAAGTTGGCGAGTTTATTTTTGAGATATAATACCAAAGAGATCCCATAAATACTTCTTGAGTTGTGAATGAAAGATAATTTCATCATTTGAACTATATTTTTATTTGTATTGTTTTATTTAAGAATCAGAAATTTCAACCTTCAGTTCAAACTGGATAATTTTCAATACTAATTCAGGTGAATATCACAAATAATGGGGGTCCAAACTGATTGACATGGTCCCAAAAGTTAGAGTTGAAGCAAGAAAAAAACGATGTCAAGGCCTCAACTTACCGAGGCTGAAAAAGCCAAAGAACGTAGACGGGAACGGTGATAGCGGATTGCGCTAATGCAGTGTTTCTCAACGGGGGCGGTGGAAGTATGATTAGGGGCGGTGAACTTGTTTCGGGCGACAGGGGGGCGTTGGGTGTATTTTGGGCAGTAGGGGGTTGTCATTCAAATTCAATTTTAAAACTTACAAATAAAATTATTAAATTAAGATTTATTTAATAAATAAAATCAATCTAAAATTAATATTAAAGAAAAAAAAAAGTTAATATAGTAAATTAAGACTATCCGATACACCATTTGTACCACCAATAAAACGAGCTTATACAACACCTATTCTTCGATCCGAACCAACAGAGAGCAGCTCATGCGTTTTTGAGTCTGATTCATTCAAGCTATTTCGCAAATCACTCTGACTCATTCAAGACATTTGGCGGGCATTAAAGTACATACGCTTTCAGTATGAATGTTTGATTTGACACGTGTTTATGATTTTTGTCGTTAGCTTCCTTACTGTTTTTTCCCCTCAGTTTCGATTCGATCTCATTGCTTATTTGGTGAATTAGTTCTTTACCATAAAATATTTATTAATTTGGAGAAATAGTTAAATTTTCTTTCATCGTTAGTATTTTGCTGGCACCAACAACGTAAGTTAACAAGAAGAAATGTCATCAATACCGTACCACGTACTTGAAGTTTGGATTTGTTCAATCGCTGTTGAACTCTCAACTGCCCATGTGTTTACTTTCTGACAAAGTTTTACCTAATGAGACAATGAAATCTTCCCATTAGCAGGAGCATTTGCAAAAAACTTATTCTGACAAATAAAATAAGGATTTGTAATTTTTCACGAACATCAAAGACAAGTTCCTGAACGCACTTTCGGTCTCAGGGTTACTAGCAACCTCATCACAAAAATGGATTGATATCTTTTTATAATATATCAAAACTTTTTGCTAAATCTGGAAAAGCTCATACCATCGGAGCAGAGTTGATACTAACGGTCGTCAAGGAAGTTTTAGAAACAGTTTTACACCATCCAGCAGCATCCAATGTAATCAAATATCCCATTAAGCAACGATACAGTGCGGTAACGAAATGATGAGATGGCTGAAGACGTTGAAGTTTCCTTATGCAAACTTTTGATATCCAACGAATTTTCCCTTCAAGTTGATGAATCAACCTTGCCATGTAATGTAGGCTTTATTGTGAGCGTAGGTCCTGTTTGTAAAGGTAGAAAAAATCATTGAAGATATGCTTTATGCAAGAAACTTGATTGTAGATACCAAAGGTAAATCTATTTTAGATACTGTCAAAGATTATTTTACAGAGAAAAACATTCCTACTGCAAATATTATCTCGATTGCCACTGATGGAGCTAATGCAATGTTGAGTCGACATCGTGTGTTTATAGCCCTTTTGAAAAGGGAAATACTAGATATTTTAGCTGTTTACTGCATGCTTCACAGACAGCATTTAAAAGGAAAAAATCTCAGCGACCGTTTGCATCAGTCATTGCAATATGTCATGTCTGCTGTGAACAAAATTCACAGTAATGCTCTCAACGATTGATTATTCAGACCGTTGCGTATGATGAAGAATTCAATCGCTTGCTACCGCACACCGAGATTCTCTGACTTTCCAAAGACGCCTGTCTCAATAGGTTTTGGAATCTTTTCGACTTTGTTCTTGAATTCCTCGAAAACAGAGATGTAGCTCTGAGAGACAGATTGCTAGAATTTAAGGAAGACTTTGGCTGATTTATTTGCAAAATTTAATGCCATTAATTTACAACTTCAAGGCGATGAGCTCAATTTGATCCCTACAAAATCAGTTATTTCTGACTTTCTAAAAAAACTAATTTTGTGGAATCAGAATTTTGGTTGGAATGAGTTCAGCTAAGCAGGCGAAATTCGCTCTGATGGTGAACAAGAATATTGTGAACACTTTGACTCCTTGCACATGGACTATTCTGACCGTTTTAAAGCTGTTTTGTTCCATTGAAGTCCCTCAATGGGGTTATTGGGTTAAGATCCCTTTTGTGAATATTGAAACAGCAGAGTTTCAGATTTATGAGGAATTAGTCGAACTTTCAACTAAGGAAACTTTGAAATGGTGATCGTCTCACAGAATTTTGGCTTCAAGGTAACATAAGTCACCCCTAACCTGGACTATAGACTATCGTTAAAAAAATTTTTAAATGCCTTCCCTTCCTCCTACCTTGTCGAACGTGGATTCAGCATCACTAAAAGTATTGAAACGCACGTTAAGAAACTGGCTCTGAACCATTGAGTGCAATCATCCCACTGTCATAGTTATTTAAATGTTTCGTTGATACTACTTTTTAGTGTAAAAAATTACTTTGGGTGTTTTTTCAATCATTTAATTAAGAATAAATGATTCTTTTTAAGCATAGGTTTCTTTGTTGTATTTTTTCACTAAACACATTTATTTTAATTACAACAAATAGACTGCAATTATCAGCAGTGAGAAAAGTATCGAGTTAATGTACACATTATTTTTTTAAAAAACCAAGCAAATTTAAAAATTAATAGCTTAATTAATTCGCTTAAAAATTGCTTAATGTTGTCTCTTATACTTCAGCACACCTCCATCCGTCCCCTCTAAATAACTGGATTTTCACAAAGGGGGGCGTTGAAATATTTTTCGCTCCCTAAGGGGGCAGCAACGAAAAAAAGGTTGAGAATCTATGCGCTAATGGTTTTCTAAAACATTTTGAACTGCGCTGATAACATCTAATTCACCTTAAGAAAGGTTGGCGGACTGCGTTTAAGGTAACCCTTATGACCATCCCTCCTACTTCAATCATGCAGTAAAACAATTTCGTCGTCTCGCCAATATTGTTCGCCAGAAGCTAGTGTGCTGTGGGAGGATATGCCAATAAGTGTTCCTCCATCTTTTGGTAATTTTCATTTCAATACAGAACACAAGTATTTATTTAACATTAAGTATAACAGAAAAGAATAACGTATTTTTCGGTTGTTTTACAAAGGAACAGTTAGTGCATGTTTATGCGAACCTACTATTCCTTGTTCTGAACAATTTATTTTCATTGATCGTTTATATGCTTTTATATAAAGGGAATTTTTAAGATAAAAAACTGAACTACTTTTGCTTTGTTTTATTTCAAATTTTGCTTTCATAATAAATCCTTATACCCGTATTACTGATTCAATACCAATAATTTCAATTTCAATTCCTTATACCCATTCTAAGCGTAAAAAGTAAATTAAGAAACGAATAATAATTATAAAAAACAGGTAAATAAATAAAAAATTTAAAAAAAATTACAGCATTAATTATGTACCCAAAACAGCGTAGGTGATCCTTACAAATTTAATATTGAGAGAAAAAAATTCAGTTATAAAAATAGATCACATTCATTTTTGTGAACATAATTATCAGGTATAATTTGCTATCAACTGTGTAAATGTAATAGTGTTAATTAATATATATATTTCATAAAAAAAGAATTATAAAACTGTTAAAATCTTTTTTAATTCATTTATTTTACACGAATAAGCAAGATTTTTTGTGATTTTAAATTTCAGTGATTTATCAAATATCTTAAATAAAAATGTTCATTTATACATTATTTTTCCCTTTATCTCATTTTGCCATCGATTTGAATTTTTCTTCTTCTTTAATTTATGGCATGAAATTTCTAACACTAAGTAAAAGAATGTGGTTAGTTCATAGTTGAAGCTCAGCTGCATTTATTTTGAGAAAACATGTTTCACTGTTTCCAATCCTTTTCGGTAAAGATGGTCAAAAAATAAATTAAACCTCTTACTTTCAATTGCCAAGAAGTGCCTTGTGTTATTATCTTTTCGTCTGAGCAGCGGGTATTCGCCTTAAATTCGTTTTGCACGTAAATCAGTTGAAGTTCGGAAAAATATCCGGAGTTCACAAGACATACCAGAAATTCTCCCCTATTGTAAGACAATCAAAGTTTTTTTTTTTCTTTCAAAGCTTTATTTTGTCTTTTTCTAAGTCCTTTTTTTTTAAAATTATTCTGCTCCAAGCAATTTTAATAAAAAGTTTCGGACAAAAATTTTGTTTTGCTGCGCAAAAATTATAACATGTAGAAACTTGAAATTACGAAGATGCGTGGTAAAATCAAAGAACAGGGGGCTGAAATTAAAATAAGTTAACATCCGATGATTATTTTGGGAATTATTAATTGTTAAACTTATTGGAAAAATTTCATGTGGGCCACTCTATATGCCGCAGGAATGCAATTACCGAATGAAATTTGACATACTGAGAGTAACAAATTGTGCGAAAGTTACTACAATCTTTACAGCTTTTATTCGGGATTATTTTATCTTCTGTAGGATAAGAATTTATTTCTCGCGAGCTGGAATTAATATTAGCTCACGCTTGACTTTGTTATCAAAAATTACAAAAAATTAACAGTTGAAATAAGGAAAAAGAGAGAGGGATTAGGTGTTGCAAGACGTAAATCTTAACATTTGTATTAAAATTTTTAAAAATGTGAGAAACTCAAGTGCAAGCCTTTTTTAATTTGAACTGTTTTATAAAGTTATCATTATATATTATTCCCAAATAAAATTTACTTCTAATTTATTGCATTTTATTTTGTCCCACATGTCATACGTTAATAAAAAAATGTTTGTAAAAATAAAGAATATTATGAGAAAGTTTTGGATATTAATACAGAAACTTCATTTTAAAGTATTAACTGTTGAAAACTGCGATTTTCGAAACTGCAATATTCAAATTTAAATTATAAATAACTGGAAAAAATTAAATCATAAATAACTTTTTAAAAAAAAACGTTGTATATATGATAATTTTCTGACAAGTTTCTAAAGCTGTAAGGAATTAAAAGTCGGTACACCAAATCTTTTCTTCAAATCATATCGAATTCTCTAAAAACGCAATAGAAATGGCATAAAGCAGAGAAATTAGCGAAATATTTTCGATATATTGTTTCGAAAACTAGATTATTTATTCAAGAAATTATTTTGCCATTATGCTCCTTTCAAATGAAAAGTTTTAAAAAACAATTTAATTTAACCTTTTACATTTAATGATCCTATTAAGAAATTAAATGAAAGAAAAAGAATGGAAAAGATACAGGAACAGAACAGTAGAAAGAGAAAATTAAAAAAAATAGCAAGGCTAGTTATTTGTGAATGGAAAATAATGAATGTGCCAGAAACATTTTCATATTAAAAGTTGAAGAATTTTTCCTAATGTTAGACTTTTTTTATTCAAAAATTGAGCAGAAATTTTCAGACTTGATCAATGATTACGTTGGTTGGTTGGTGTCGTATCCTCTATTGAATCATATCTCGTGGTGTGCTTGAATAGTCTTTGCTATCTCTATGGCATTAAATGAATAAAAATCTTCTTCTGTATGGTTGTTTAAGAGGTGAAGGCCTGCAGCGTCTGCAGAGTAGTTAAAAACATGATATGGTGTGAGTTCCACATTAGGACAGTTGCCACAGTTTTGATAAATGCTAAAATTACGTTAATTGCAATTATTACATTTAGATGAATTTAAATTATTCGAAGTAACATGAATAATTTTAAAAATAATTCAAACTTTTCTTTTAAAGAAATTATTCTAATATATATATACACTCATGGACAAAAAAATTAACGCACCAAGGTGTCGTCAAAATGAAACGAAATTTTACATGCGTAATGACTACTTTGATATAAGTAAATGATTAGAAAATCAAAGAAAAACGATAATCTTTGATTTTCTAATCATTTACTAACATCAAAGTAGTCATTACGTATGTAAAATTACGTTTCATTTTGACGACTCCTTCTTGGTGCGCTAATTTTTTTTGCCCATGAGTGTATTTAATTCTTTCTACAACATCATGCAATAATATAAAAAAGTACGGCTTAAATTTATCATTATTTTACCATTGCATTACAAAAAATTGATGTAACTGTTATTAAAAAGTTGTTAATATAAAAACAATTTTGGATTAAATTACGTTTATAAAAAAGGGAGAAAAAAACAATTGTTTCTCTTTTCCGGTTATTGGTAAAATCTGTTAGTGAAAAGATAATTTAAGATGTCGATTTTGTTACTAAAAAGAAATAATTTTATCTCCATAAATATGTTGTAATTCATACTGAATGCTGAGATTTTAAAGTAAATTTTTGTCAATATTTACTAAGATATACATTTTCAATTTAAAACTAAGCGAACAAAAATATAATGATAACAAATCGAATATTTTAAAACCATTCCTTTATATTTAATTCTATGAATAGCAATTATTTTGAACATTATGTTTAAAAAATTACGAAGTTTTGGTCTCATCATTAATCATGAAATTTACAAAGATTATTTCCAAACGGTTTAAATGTAACGAAAACTTTTTATTCACAAGAAATTACTATTATAAATGCATATTGATTTTTATTTTTACAAAGCACAACATACTGCAACAATAATAAAAATAATCATAATTTCTCTATTATTACACAATGCATTTTTTCTTCAAAATCATCCTTCTTTTATTATTTCCATTGCTTTTTTATATTTATGTTTATTATTGCAGAATAAAATATCGATAATATCATTTTCAAAGCAGTTTTGAATTTCATTAAGAAAAAAAGAAAAAAGCAATTATAAGGGAGAAAAAAAACTAGTCAATTTTTCCACAATAAAATCTAATTGATACCAATTTCAGTTCAATTTGCGAAAGAAAATGCAATTGTTTCCCCCTTTTTTTTCTCATTTTAAACTTTTCTTTATAATTACGCAATTTACATTGCCATTTATGTTTAAATTATTACAAAATCAATTTTCCGTGCGTCGGTTGATTATAGCGTGCCTGCTTTTTCAAACATGTCTGGAAACGCCAGTTATCAATAAAAAGAGATATAAAAATTAAAATGAAAGCAATCATATTTTGTATGTTAAGTTGGAGCCCACAAGTAAGTTGAAATGAAATTAGTTAAACTCTTAGGATATGAATAGCATTTTTTGAAGCTCTTTGAAGTCCAAGATAAGTAAAAAAGGGACAATTTAATCTTCTTTTCTCTCGAAGCAAGGCTATAATCAGCCCATCTTGCCATTTTCTGGGCATTAAAACTGAGAAGTGACTTAAAATATTTTTTAAACTATTAAACTTTATATAAAAATTGCGAATTAGGAGATATTTTTCACCTAGATGGATAGTTATCAAAATCAATGAATAACTTAAACTTTTTTTTTTCAAATTTTTATGATCCCAGATAATGCAGCACTGTAGTAACTTTCTAAATATTAAAACAGTTGATCTTAAAACCTTTTCATTTTTATAAAGCTAAGGCTTCTCTTCATAGTGACGTTTGACTCTCTTTTTTTTTTCAAAATTAACGTAGGTAAAATCAACACTGTCTAAATGGAAACTGAGCTTGACTTAACTGACATGAACAACTGTTACAAAGTCTGTTAGTCATTTTCATAACTTCTGTGAGCACTGCAGTGAATGCATTTTTGAGAAAAGTATTCGCAAAAAAAAAGCGTTATTTAAATTAGGCCTATTTCAACCCCCACCACACAGAAAGAAACATGGTCAATTCTACCAGAATATGTTAAAATTCACCGTATTTCTGGCTATATCGGAATACTAAAGGGCTCAGTAATTTTTATCCAAACGCTTTGGTAATGATTTTGGTAAAATTAGCAGAAAATAGGGTTTTATAATGGGTTGCAAAATTTGGTATTTTTTGATACATCATGATACATTAGATCGTAATAATAACATAATAAGTTACACCATATATATATATATATGGTGTAACTTTTTATTCACAAGAAATTACTATTATAAATGCATATTGATTTTTATTTTNATAAAATTCTTAGCTGCAAGCAGGTAATATATATATATATGCAGGTACGTTCAAGAATAAGTTTAATTCAATTTAAAAGAATAAATGAATGAAAAGGAAATTAAAATAATGCTTTTTTGATTTGAATTTTTAACACATATAAACTTTAATTACGTATACAACCGAGCACACTCACGCATATCTACCTATCTATTTATCTATAGATATATATATATATATATAGCTATAGTTATAGTTTCTTTTGCTGTTCTATTACAACTGTATTGGAATATATTGTATTGTTGTTTAAGTATATATATTTTTGTACTTTGAAGTATTCGAAGAAGGAGAAAATGGGAGATTTGTTCTATTATCGGAGAGAAAATGATGTATCCTCTATGGTACAGGATGACCATAAGAAAGATGTAAGAAAAGTTCAGAGTTTTTAATTTATCTCAGTTTTCCGTGTCATTTTGAATTTTCTTTTTTTATCATTTTGCTTTTCTTCAAAATGTTAGCTAAATAAAAAATTCGTGTAAATCAAAAAATAATAAAACAAAAAAATATTAAAATTAAAATAAAAGAAGCTTAAAACTGATTTTAAAATTAAATTATATCTTAAACTAAGACGCCAACTTGCTCCGCTTTTTAGAAAATATTTTTCTTGTGGTAGCAAACTTCTTGTGGTTTAATGTATGATTAGTAGTTTAGAAAATTCGATTGAAAATTATATTTTGCCCTTCACTACTCATAAATGATTCAAAAGCTCATTGAAAAAATGGTAATTTCGTTCTTAATGTCTCGAATATTCCTACTGTACTTCCTACTGTCGTTGTTGTTGTTGGCGTATGCCTGTTAAGACAGAGGGGTGCGATTGTTCTTGTTTTCCAGTGGCGCCATCTATGGCCAAGAATTCAACTTCTGCCGCACCCATACGTCACACCCGTTTATAGGGTGTGACCCATTCACACATCCATTCATCCAGAGATGGTAATTTTGACCTGAATCAGAGAACGATCTATCTCCAATTCAGTACCCCCAGAGATATTGATTTTTTATGGGAACATGGAGGACTTTGTGACTGGACAGATTTAACGTGCATCACTCACCATTTTACTACACGGGGAGTCTCCGGTCGACGGGATTCGAACCTACGAACTCTCGGACATGGGCCCAGCGCCCTACCGACCAGGCTATCCCGGCCCTTCTGCTGTCGTTCCTACTGCAAATGCGAGAATAACGGGAGTACTATACGACAGTTTACTGGAGTATTCTATGACGCAATTTGAAAAATTTCATGAATTCTGAGTTAAGAAGGACTTTATTATAGATAGTATTATTTTTCATATTACCAATTAGTTGAAATAAAAATAAGAATAATTTAATCTAAAATGAAAAAAAAAAAGAAATATAATCCCCCAAGACTCTTTTAAAAAGTGGTTCGTTTTTAAAATTTTTATCCGACTTTTAATATTCATTTGATTTTAAAAACTAATTTATTTCAGACAGAAATTTTTCAATTTCCTTAATTAGGCTGGTTGGTAGGGCACTGGACCCATTTCCAAGAGGTCGTGGGTTCCCCTGCCGAAGATTCCCTGTGACTGAGGCATATAAGATCTGTGGAGTCACAAAGTCCCCCATTTTACCATAACAAATCATACCTCTGGGGGTACTGATCCAGGAGCTTCCTTGTCTTCTGGATTGGGTTCAAAATTACAAGGCTGCGGAGTTGAACAGTAGTAGTCGTAATCACAAAATTGGGTCGGCTGTTCAACGAAAGTTATAAAGTTAAATAAAATTGCTTTAATTAAAAGTGTATCGTAGCGAACCTAACACGAAGAATAAATTCAAAAATCTCCTTTTATTCTATGTTTTTAAAAACTTTTTCTAATTTTCAGATACCCAGCAGCAAAGTAGTTCATATTTCTATCACGAAAGAAGATCGTAAACGTGCAGAACGTTTGAATAAATTAAGAGAAGTTGTCTGGGAAGCTTTTAAAGGCATTGTTTTCATTGTTTGTTTTGGCGGATTCGCTTACCAGATTTCAGAGTTCCTCATCCATTTCTACACCTATCCGACGACCATAGATATAGAAATACAGGAGCCCGATAATGTCATAAGACCTGCTGTGACCATTTGTGATACCAACCCGTAAGTATTATCACTCAGTTTTCCTTACTAAGTAGAAAAAAGAAGCAGTAAAAATAAATATAAGGGAAGAGTCAGTCTGAGAGCTTCTCTTAAAGCTTTAGAACCGGCTGTGCTGGTACAGAAGTTTCTTCTGGTGAAAGTCGCTGGGAGCAAGATAGGAACTGTATGCTCAATGATCAAACAACTCCAAGCAGAACGTCTGCAGCAGATTTTACTGTCGAATTCATCGCATGGTGCCAGGGCCGGCTTATGCATGTCACGGCCCCTAGGCAATGCTCGTCTCGGCCCCCCACCCCTACCGTCTTCTAACTTCCTAATATATTTTTTCGCTAACACAACACTTTATTCATAATTACGCTGTTTTTTACTACATAGGTATATTATCACATTATTCAATAAAAATATTGTAAAACTCTCTTTTCATTCACAGCCGTAAAACTCGCAAATAAATTGCACGAAGTGAAAATTCAACGATTACATTAAAAATGTTGTCTATGACACAATACAACGTATGTATTTAGCGGATCGGGGAATTCCCCAGTCATGCGACGAAAGAACCAGCACTGCCAACCTTATTTTTACATACTCTTTGGTAGCTTGGCCATAGAATATACATACCTATGGTAGGTACCAGAACAGTAAGTGTGCATTTACAACGTAGAATTTTGCGCGTTTTTCAAGCGTGTTGTGTTAAAAAAGCTGCTCTTGCTGTCTAGTCATCTGATTAATCGGCGTTAAAATTTCCGCGATAAAATTTATGGCGATTATATTACTGCGTTATATATGAACTAACTACCATAATATTAATATCTAATTTGGAATGGGTTCAGAAATGTACTAAAATAGCATCGATGTAATGTACAAAGCAAGACAATCGTCATTGAAATTTCGAATTAAATTTTTACTGTTTAAGAAACATTGTCAATTTTTTTTCTCTGCAGCACAGGGCCCCTGAACGTGGCGGGGCCCCTAGGCAGTTGCCTACAGTGCCTAATGGATAAAACGGCCCTGCATGGTGCCGATTATAATTGTAGATTTGCACATCATCATTTGTCGGAAAGTGATATCCGGGCAGAATTTTTTTCTGACGAAAGTCGAGCGCAATTGTAGATCTACAACAACAATGATTATATCACTCTTTTTATTATGACTTGCTCATTGTGTAGTAACATTAAGCGTTGCTCACTTAAGTAGAGACACGCGCTCCATTTTAAGATAGCAGACCTTCTATTATACTGGGGTTCAGAAATTTATTCCACAGTACAGCTAGCGTTACCAAATCTTTGACATTCGAAGCATTTCAAAGCATTTGGCACACATGAACTGGGCTGTTATATCACACAAGTTTTACAGAAGATGGTAACCTAGGTGTGTTAAATGTCAGGATAAGATGTTTGTTTGGTAGAGACTGGATTACCGTCCCTCTGAATCTTAATCCTACTAGCTGCTGTCCCATTTTTATCTCTACGCTTTTCAAAAAGCATTTTTTCTTCGTCGTTTATAAATTCTGCTTCTGATATTACACCTCGAGAGATAATTAGCGATTTAATAGGTGCGGCAATAATTCTGAAAGAACACATATTCGTACAACTAAATAAAATATTGACTTCTTCACAGAGGCGACTTCTCCCAGTACGGAAAGAAGAGCCTTGTGAATAAGAAATGGGGATACTTTACTGGATGAAGTGTTTGGTACATTTGAATGATTCGTCAAAGCTATCAGGAATAATGTAGCACAATTACACGGTGTCGAGGCTGTTATGCTGATCTTATTTTGGTTTGTGAAACTGAACACCTTGCCATTTTCAGCCTTAGAAAATATCAATCACTGTCACTATCAGTGGCACCACGGTGTCCATCTAAGGGCACGGAAGTAACAGATTGGTGGTGGTCATCAATCCGCTACTTGACACCGATGATGAACGATAGCTATCTTTTAGTAGGTTTGTGGATTGTGCCACAAAGATTTTTAAATGATGCCTCGGTAATCTTAAGGAGAATAACACCTTCATCTTCAAAACTCTGTTCCAGGCGATTAGCAAAAGCCTTCTAATTCACATCGTTAAAGTTCTATCAACTATTGAATTTGGGGTTTCTTTTTGTGGGTGTGTTTTCTTTTCTTCTTGTGAGGATCATTATATGCCCAGAACCAGGGTTTAAAGGTAAAACTTCTTTTGGCATTCGGTGCTAAATTATCTGATACCATACTAAGGTCAATGTTTGTAAAAAATAAGTGGGTAGATCAGAAGGTTGGTAAATGAGGTTCAAGCAGGTTGAGTAGATCTTTTATGACTCCTTAATGCATTATTATAATCAGTATGGTTCCATCTGGTACAATGAGGATTGAAGTCACCCATACGTATAGTTTTCCTTGAGGAAAAACAATGTCCAAATTCACTTTTTTGTTACCTAGTGGGTCATTTTTTTCATGTGAAAAACCACCAGCATTCCTATAAAGCAATTTTATAACATTAAAGATAGTGCAGAACTCTCAAAATACATAAAAACACGAAGAAGGAGGCAAAATCATAGCAGATATAGTATAATTCAGAGTACACTACGAGGAGCCCCGTTAAAATGTAAGTGAAACTCTGTTTATTTGCTGGATGAAAATATGAGGGCGCTTCTAATAATCATCCTTTCTTTACACATTTAAACAGGTTTTGATATTTTTAAGTTTCCCCTCTCACGTTAAGGACATGTATGGATTAGACGACGTATTTCTTTTTCTTTTCATTGAATATGAATTTGCAGTATCCAATGTGTCTATTTTTACATTTTATTTTTAATAAGGGTCGTGACCATATAGCACCCTGTTTGTAGAGTGATGCAATAGATGGTGTCCGAGCTAGGAGGGGAGGCTCGATACATTATAAGGATGATGAGTTGCACTGCAACTCTTCATAGTCAAAAATATTATCGTAATCCTCAAGGGACGCTCTGATATTATGAACCAACTGTTTGTGTGCATTTGCACCGGTATTATTTATTTAACTTATATTAATTTTATGTGAGATCTATATTTCCAATTATCATTTTCAAAAATTGCACCCGAATAAATCGAGAAATAAATTTTTATTAATCGTAATTTACTGATCCAGCAATCAAATTAGTGAGCGTTGCAAGTTAGTCGCCAAATTATTAAAGTGCTATATAAAAGCTAAATCTGAGATCATTTGAATGCAGTTTCGGGGAAATAGTTATTATAAAAAATAAACATGCAATTCTGAACCTTAATGGTGAGTATTATGCTCCAAGTTTGAAACCGCTGTACCAAATCAACTCTGTATATACATAAATACAGATACGTTTAACAGTTATACAATGGGAAATGTTTTGTTATTTTTCTAGAGTGAAGAGAAGTGTTTTTTGTAGCAGATACCAATCTGATTGCTCATACGTTGAAGATCCGGAGAAATTTTGCGTCGACCATCCTCTCTATTGCGGAGCGGATTTAAATATGTCGAATTTCTATGTAAGTTTTGTTGTTATTCTACAATTTCTTAACACTGAACGGAGTTTACCGCAAATTTCTTCGTCATTTATTTTAGATTTTAATAACGCATTGTGTTTCAAATAAATAAATAAAGAAAGAAATGGCGACATGCACGATGTGCAAAAAATAAATTTAGAAAAAAAAAAAACTTATTCTAATTTTGATCTAATAAGCCGATTTTCACATACAAGGACTGATTCGTTAAGACGATATTTTAAGTCTCGAAAACATGCACAAAAACATACTTGCTTATACTTTTTTATATAATTTATTTGAATTTTTGTTCTTCTAAGTATGGGAATGTACCGCAGTCTGGGACAATGTGGTCCTCTTACTAAGTACAGGGAGCAGTCAAAAGTTTAGACCCCTGAATACTAATTTAATTTCTATTTTTGCGTATTTCGTCATCTCAAAAACTATTTGACCGATTTCCTTCAAACACAGGTTTCTTTTAACATTACGTGGATTGAATTGATGTAACACTTTGCATACCTAACAAATCAAACTGTTTTTGATATTTAGTAAGTTAAGTAATAATATAAGATAAGTATGATTTATTTTTTTACATGGAATTGGCAGTTGTTTATGCCACGATTCAGCACCAATCGGATTTGACAAACACTCGTTACGTCACATCTAGGTATCCAATTAAATATGAATTAAATTGATTCAGCGCTATAATAAAGCAAGACAATCAAAATAGCTGTAACGTTAACACGTCAAGCACAACCTCGCTATTCGGGCCAACAAGAGGTATTCTACTTGAGTTGCAAGTATCCAATTATTTTTGAATAAATAATATTTGTAATTGTGGACAAAATACTTTTTGACTCTCGCTATTAGTTCCAGAGATATATTGAATAGAAGATGAAGTCTAAAATAATAAAAGAGACAGTTACTTTTGTCAAAAAATACCAATATCAGGAATGAAGGGTACAAAATAAAGTTCTTAGTTGCAAGCAGGTAAATTATTAATAAAAAAACTCAGTAATTTTCAGTGCCATTATATGAGATTTTGTAGTAAACGGGTAAGTTGATTCCTCAGAAATAACAGCTTAAGTTCACGTAAAAAATTTGCATTACTTAAGTGGAACTCTTTTTTATTTGGAAATCTCTCTCTATATATAAATAAATGTGTGTCCTTTATAGACTCCTAAAACTTCCTACCGAAAGCGATGAAATTTAACATGCAAATATTCCAAAGCACGAGAAGGTTACTAACAACATTAAAATATTTTTACGACGAACCGTTCGAGCGAGATGAGCGAGATACGAAATGAAAATTTCTGATTGGTTAAGCGTTAGATGTTTATTAAATTTAACTACAAATAATTCGCAAGCATTTTAAAGATAATATGCTTATATTTGGTTATACTATATCAGTCTTAGCTTATAGCTCTGTTTGGTAAAAAAAGTTGCGTGCACTTACCTCCTTTAAGTATTTATTCACTTTGTCAGATAAATTCGATAAATTCAATGAACATTTACGGGGGCATCGCCAAATTAGCATTCCTAAAGTTAACTAATCCCATGTGCTTAGTTTGTTTATAGTAATTCGCTTAAAATGTGTTTGAATGAAAGTGGGTATTTTAAAATCAACGGAAATAGGGTATTTGCAACTCGAGAATAAAACTATTACTGATACATAGACATGTGATCGACCTACGACCTCAGCGTCAGCTGATCGTTTATAAACAAGATGATGCATTAAAATTGAGCTAAGTCTCTAAACGTTAGTTAGACTGTTAATTAACGTGAATTTAATTAAATACAACACCGTATCGCCCATCGAATTTGGTAAAAAAATAATTTCACTTCTACGCCGATTAGTTAACTATGTTTTATTATATATATAACGAACAATAGTTTACCTCATTGGAAGGCGAACTCTCTATCGCCTGAGTCAACACTGCTCACCTTTAATAGTTTGTTAACTATTAATTGTATTGTAACATATAATTAATTTATAGCATCATACAGGTACCTAGACAACCATTCACACGATTTGAAGAAAAGTCTTTTCACAGATTTCGAGCAGATTTCTTGAATGCCTACCAACCCTCAGGAGAAGTTGTAAAAATAGAAGATTCTTATAAACGGTAAGAATGTAAAAATGATGCATTAAAGAAAATCAACATTTTTACTGATTGTGTGAGTAAAAAAAAAAATAAAAAAAAACTGTTTAATGTTAACTTCACATTTAATTTCAAAATTAATTTCCGATTCTGAATTGAATGTTGGTTAGATCCTAATTGACAGTAAAAAATATCTTTTGAAGAGCAGTATCACTATATCAGACTATATCAGTATCAATAATCAGAGGCAAACGTGTCGTCAACGTATCTTGTCAAGCATAAGAATTTGATTCAGTCAAAGATTTGTTTTACAACCTAAATATTTCCTAGTCATCAATTAATTTTGACATTAATTCAGTTTAATTTATTTTAAAAAAAATAGCATAAAACATCACAATTTTAGCTTCAAAGAACTTAAATAAAATTTTACGTTCGAATTGCTCTATTCTATGTCTCAAATCATTTCCTGTGGTGCGCAGTGAGGGAGAGGGACGTAACATAGTTTTCAGGATCTGTTATACCACATGAGAGCAAACCACAAAGCGTCATACCGCCACCACCAGTTTCTGTTTGACTTGTTGGGCTCTGCGTCAATTTGCCGTAGCGACAATTCATCGTGCACAATTTATCAAAGGACTGTCCGTCGTGAGCACAATTTGCAGCGATAATTCATTGTAAGTACATCTCGTGGCAAGGACAACTTGTCGTGAGCACAGTTCGTCGTGGTGAACAATTCTTCGTGGAAGCAACTCGTCGAAACAATTCATCTTTGGCACAACTAATCGAACTAACAATTTGTCGTGGTACAACTATCTTTCGTTCACCAGGAGTTGGCACTTAGCTCTATCTTCATCATGTCGTATCCGACGAAATAATTTGCTATTTTTGGGAGAATGATGTGAACAATCCTGAACAAGGTTGCTATTTAGCGATCGTATGACTGAAATATTTATTTCGCAATCTTAATGTGCTTTTTTTTTAACCTTAAATATTTCATAAATTTGATATTTCTAATGAATAGTTTGTCCTTTTTGAGACATTTTGCTGCAATATATTTAATTAGCTAGAGTAACGAGAGGTATCATAGCAGATGATAAAGCGAAGTTAGTGACTGAAAAAGAATTCACTGTTTCCGTTTGGTGCACATTAAGGGTTGTCTCAATTTCAGGTGCAGAGAAGTTTTTCCTCTTACTCCCCCGCGCTGAAATGAACTCTTCGTCCGAGGAGGTGGAGCCAAGTGACAACTCCTGGTGAACGAAATATAATCGCAACAATATTTCGCCGCAGGCGCAATTCGTCTTGAGCACAATTTCATATGGTTTTCATGAAATATGTGTTCCAGTTATTATAGCAACAAAAAGTGTGTTTCGCCAAAAGTTAAACGCCAAAAGCAAATTAACGCCCCATTTTTTTTTTTTTTTTTTTTTATTATTTTTTTTTTTTTTAAGTTTCGGCGGAAAACCTATTTATATCATTATAAATGGTGCTTCGAAACTTACCTATTTTTCTCTTTTTTTTTTGAGTAAAATGGGAGGGATTTTAGGGAAGTGGGATTGAATTTCTTCCAAACAGGCAACTGAGGCACTATTTCCGATGTATTTCCTTCACACTAAATTGAATTAAATCAATTACGATCTAATCGAACTAATAGTTGAGAAGTTATATGGGTTTTATATACAAAGATTACAAATTTGTATTTGCGCCTGTTTACACATCTAACATAGCTATCTAAACAAGTGAAGTATAGTGCTCTATGTAGTATTTTATGTTCAATCGAGTGAGAGTATACAAGAGTCAACAGATTAAATAGTATAAATGTAAAAAGTGCTTTATTTATAAAAAGTACTTCTATTGACTTATACTTATGTGCACGTTTTATATATCTACCTAGAAGCTATCTAAACATATGAAGTACATTTTCCGATGTAGCTCTTCATGCAGAATTGAACGTGATAAAATGCAAGTCGAAATGATGAATAGCTTTGAAATTATATACGAATTTGTTCATAATATGTACAGTTCAAAAAATAGTATTTTTTATTAAAAAATTTTCTGAAAGGAAGTTTTACAAAATAAAACAAGCAGTTAGTGCACAAGCTTTTTTTTTCCTTTTTGAAATTTACCTTATTTCTCGTACTGATACTAATATCAATCACTAATCTGAAGTTTATTTCAAAGTAAAATAAGTAATGTAAAAAAAAAAATTAGAGTCAATTCCTACTTAGACCAACAAAGAAAAATTTTACTTCGGTAACTTTTTATTAAATAATTTTTTTCTGACTGTAATTGTGAATCTAATCTAAAATGAATTAATTAAGCTTAATTAATGAATTAATATTTGAAAAAAACCGTATATATATATATATCAAGTATCATTCACTACAATTTTAAAAAAATGCATCTGAACTTGAGTGGATAAATAAAAAACATTTTATGAACGATTAAAAATTTGAACAAGATATATTAATATACACACCGAAGAGCCATTACATTATGACCACCCTGCTAATAACATGTAGGACCACCTATAGCCCTCAAAACTGCTAGCACCCGCCGTGGTATTGATTCCACAAGGTGCTGATAAGTAGTCTGAGGTATCTGGTGCCAAGCGCTCACCAATTTGTCCTGCGATTCCCTCCCATTGCGAGGGGGTAGCGTGGCAGCACGAATTTGGTTTTCCAAGTAGGACCACAAATGCTCTATTGGATTAAGGTCAGGTGAATTTGGGGGCCAAGACATGACTTGAAAGTCAGTGGAATGTTCCTCGAACCAATTCATGACGATTCGACCCTTATGGCATGGTGCATTATCCTGTTGGTAAACACCATCCCCCGCAGGAAAAACTNTCTTGACCCCAGAATTAAATGGGGTCGTTAGTATATTTGAGGTCACCGCCTCGAACCATTTAGATTGGATCCTAACCATGAAAGCCTGGGCGAGCCCATTGTTATAGATGGAGGGTGGTCATAATGTATAAGCTCTTCGGTGTGTAGGGTGAGTGTGAACTAATAGCATTAATTGGGGAAAAAAAGTAGCGTGGTATCAGCCAACTAAAAAAGTGTAAATTTGGTGACGTGAACCACACGTGGTACTTCGTAATGTTCTTTATTGAATTTATCTGACGCAGCGAATATAAAATAATTAAATATTTAAATGTGCGCAATCAACAACTTTTTTGCTCAAATAGAGCTATAAGTTAGAAATTATCACTGATGTTATTTACAAAATATGTGAAAAACTGAATCACTTATAGTAAAATTTAAAACAATGACTAACGCTTAACCAATCAGAAAATTCCATTTCCCTTTTCGCTCATCCCTATTTAATTAAGTGTTCAATATTTGAAAAAAATGTGTCAACATCATATGTCATCCACTACGAGTTTAAAAAAATGTATTTGAACTTGAGTGGTGGAATTAAAAGTATTTTATTAATAATTGAAAATTTGAACAAGATGTAGGGAGAGTGCGGACTAACAGTAGGGATTGAAAAGTAAAACAAAATGCAAGATAAAATGGTTTTCCTCCACCGCCTGTTTCTCTCTTGTGTCCAAAAAATGTAAGGCTTACATCGTTACATTTCATTTACAGATTCAAATGTTCCGAACTGGAGAGCGGATTTTTATGTATAGGTTTTACAGATGTAATATTTTACATTCCAGTTTACTTTATTAAAACAGTTTTTTTTTAACAGAGCCCGTCTTGAGGGACCATTCTATATAAGTTGTGTAATGCATCATTGTTATTCTTTGAATAATTTGGCTATTTCAAATCAGCAATCTAAAAAAAGGGACATTGAGAGAAATTTAAAAATATTTCGTAAGTATTTCTTTATCTATTTAATCAAGTATACAGTACAAATAGTATATAAAATCCTTAGATTCACCTGCTCTCTACTATAAAAAGTATTAAAGCTGCCATTACATAGCTAAATGCGTAGAATTACTTTAATTCTTTACTTAAATTTTTCTATCATGGAAGTGATTACAAATACAGTTACCCACAGAAGTGTGTAGGATCATTTAAATACTCTAACATTTCTGACTGAATGATTACAGTTATAGTCCCACACAAAATATCTAGCCAAACTTAAGTCCCATGCTTATAGGTACTCTTCCAACTTCAAAATGGCTACATATTGAAATGTATAAGCTTTTTTTGCACATCATCTTATAATCATCGCGATTATTATTATTAAAAAACATCCATAGGATTACTAAAGTACGTGTACCCTTCTGACTGCCAGGCGGCTTCAGTTAAAGTCATCGACAAAGTGTAAGCTTACTTAAGTTCTACACTTGTACAATTGAGTTCGAAGCATAATAAGCTTGATAATGTTCTATATGGCTTCATACCTGTCTTTGTGTTAAGTATTTGTGTAAATATATTGTGAAAGAATTGATATCTTTGTGGAAAAAAAGAATATAGGCTTTGTCACTTAAGAGAATTGGTAATAACGGGCTTGGCTAACTTGAAATAAAATTGAAAGAACAGTTGCTAACGTAAGAAAATAACAAGTTTCAACAACCAATCAGGATCGAGATACCCACACTACGTCACTTGCAGGTATCCCATTCTTCTCATATATAAAAGTGCGTATTTTTTTCAAACCGAAATAGTTATGAGCTATTCGATTGTAATAGTTACATAACTGATTTTTTTTTTTTTTTTTTTTTTTTTTTTTTTTTTTTTTTTTNTTTTTTTTTTTTTTTGTAAATGGCTGCACTTTTTTTTTGAAATTGAAAACAAAGTATTCGATGATTTTTCCAGCTATGTATATTAATAACAGAAGAGTTAACTAAAATGATTATGAGACATTGTATCGTATTCATAAGTATACATAAAGTAAATCACTGTCTTATTTNTACTGAAAATTGGCAATGAGATTTTCTTTAAAGTAATAATAATTATCATCATAAATTTCTGACCTTTCAGCAGGAATAAGCTGTAAAGCACACGAAAACCAAAGATCGAAATTCACACTAAATCTCTTCGCTTTCTGTTCAAAGAGTTCGAAGTACCGTCGAATTCCACACTTCTTGGCATCAATTTTAAACATCTCATTCACTAATTTTTTCTTAAGTAGGAAATCCATAATAACAATAATATTTGTCACCAATTCTTTCAAAAATTTAATAAAACATTTCTGGAACGGATTAATTGCCACCAATTAAATATATAGCTGTAGCGTATCAAGCTATATTAAAGAACTGTTGAGTTTTTTTATAAAAACATTTATTTCACACCACAACAAATACAATAACAAATATAAAGTACCCGTAACGGGAAAGTTAAATCTCATAAAGGAAACTAGAAAAAGTGCCCGTAGCGGGATATATGAAAACTCACCCGTAACGGGATAGATAAAATATCAAGGCACTCTAGATAAACCCGTAACGGGTAATATGAAAACTCAAATTCCGCACAAAAATAATTCTAAAAAATCAACAACTTTCTGGTGTTCTAATTTTATCGTCTGCTTTTATTATTTGTATTTCGTCATAAAATATTTCATTGATGTGCGCATGCGCTTCTTCTCCGTTTCATCGTACCGAAGAAAAAGAATTGAAGCCCATTTGAGAGGCACAGGGAACCGGTAAAATCCTTTCGTACCGCGCATTGACTCGCGTTTGCTTTGGTGCCTTTCATTTCTTGTGGTGCCTCTCATTTTTAAAGGCACATCAGTTATGTGCCTCTAACACGACAAAATGAAGGGTACATTTAGCTTGTGCCTTTTATTTAAGAGGTACAGTTTTTAGAGTGTAAGAACACTCTAGCACTAGCATAGAAAGCACTTTTTTTTGCGGATATAATCGTGTGGGCAGATGAAAAGGTTATATCTTTTATTTTCCAGATTTTTTATAATTTTATCATTTTTTCGGATTTTTTTTTTATTATTATTTTTAGTGACACTTTAAAATAGTGTCATTTTCATGTTTAACTCTCTGAACGTTATGACTTGAGTAAAAATAAATGCATGCAATACATTGTGCATAAAATATATTGTGCATAAAATTATTTGATAATTTTTCTCCGATTATTCAATAAGGAAGCAGTGTGTAGGAGGGGCTAAATTTTGTTTTAGGAAAGTATGTCACAATTCTCAAAACATTCAAATCTAAAATCATCGAGTAAAAATGTATAACCAACTAACAAACACACTGATTTTAATTGTTAGGAGTGGTTAAATGTTTTTTGAATTATCTGAAAGCAGATATGATTTGAAATTTCTTTTAATTCACTTGATTTCTTTTTAGCATCCAAAGAGACTACACCAGAAAAAATGGGTAAATATGTTCTATCTATCTAATGAAAATAAAAACAACATCTAATATGGTAAATTATGTAATTCTTATAGGTAGTTATAGGTATATAGGTATTTAATTGTACTTTGGTGTAATTGGGTTGTTAGGGTAGAGTGTTGTACTACATTGATTTAATCTTAACTATATTTTTTAAAGATGTTTTTAATGATTAAATGATTTTGATATTGTTTATTTCACGTTTATTTATTTATTTATTTTTTAAAAAAAACAAGAATTTTTAAAGTAGACATTTTTGTAACAGGAGTTGAGTTATGGTTATGGATATTATGAGTTAGCGATTGAGTTATGGATATTTGAGTGATATTAGTTCTATCTGGTGAAATGTATTGGCTTAAAATTTATGAACTTTAATGAGTAGTCAATACTCATTTCTTTTAAACTAAAGATGACTTTAGTATTGAGTACTTATTCTTTTTTATTTCCAATGGCAATGATGTAACAAGTAAAAACAAAGAACAAGGAACAATAAACAAATAAAAAAAAGTCATTGTCTCATTCGGTTTCTCGCCTCCTAGTACCGCTCGAAGCAGGACGTTTTAGTCCTGCCGTTTATATCTTGTCGTTTCAGTCCTGCCAATTCGGTTCCGTTGCCATTTGTTCCAGCCATTTTTGTTACGTTAATGTTCCTTCCCTTTCTATTTCTGTTTTTCTCTTTTAAATATGGTAATTTAAATATGTTAAGTATCCTAGTAATATTTTCCTAAATCTGTGTGTTTTATTTTTACTTTCATTTCATTTCCGTGGTTTTAGTAAATTTAATTATGATGGTATAATACATACAATGTTGTCTTACTGATTTGACATTAACTAGAATATTTGTTGATGGCATAGACTTTTTTCACAAATCGTTAAACTCACTTTTTTTTGGATATGTCAAATACAATTCTGACAGATAAGTTTGAAAAAGTAAATCTAAACAGACTGGAGTTATATGTACTATTTTTCACATTTATTTAATGTACCTGCCTAATATATGGTGGCCATTTTTATTGTAAAACAGTCTTAAATGACCAATTGTAAGAAAACTAGTGGATAAAACTCAATCCAATTTGCAGCAAATACTATTTAGACCCGTGGGTCGCCTTGTGATATTTAATAAGGAATATTGAATTTTTCAAATTATATAATGCTATTTATCTTCTGCATTCAAACATAGTGCATAATATAAAATCGAGGTGATGTGATACACAAGTATAAGTTTAAAAATGAAAAATGGACCCACATAAAAGAAATGCTAAAACCATAAGAATTTTTTTTTCTAAAAGAAAAAAAAAAGATTTCGAGCTTTCGCTACTAGGGATTAAAAAAGTGCTTTTAGGCCATCTTTGCGGTAAAATAGGCATAGAAATTTCAAAATTTTAGCATAGTATAAGCATTTTGATATTAATATCGCATTTTATTAGTCTAGAATTGTTGACTAACTAAAGTTCTAGACTGTGATAGAGAAGGTCACAAGTTCATGTCTCAAAACCAATGAAGAATTTTTGCTCTTATCCTAACTGTAGCAGAAAAGATTTAATGTTCATGCTTCCAAGGCAACTGAAAAACTTATTTTTACAAGCGAATAATAACACAGACTTAATTGAAGTAAAAAACAAACTATAAATAACCTCATTTCTACTTGATAATCTGCATAAAGCACGCTACTGCTAAGGGCTACACGCTACTGCAACTGCAAAATGTTCATTTCTTGTATTTCCTATACTTATTTTACTTTCCGCACCTCAATCGTATATAAACTGCTCATATCTAATTTACATTTCATGAAAGGCATACTAATGTGGATCCAACTTTTTGAAAAATCATGTTCATATCTCACAAGCACTTTCGAAGACAACCTTTGATTTACAGGGCTCAATTAATAACTCCTGAATATTATGTAAATTACATACCCTCTTAATATGCTTCAAAGTAACCCAAATCTGCTGTAATTCACTTCTGAATCTTGCTGTAAAAGTTTTAGAAACAATTTTTAAAGTCTTCCTTCTGAATGCTCATCTATTCTGGAGCTCAACATCCTTAAGCCTGAAGGTTACTTCGAAACGTAATACATAGATGTGAAATTCACACCATACGTTTGGGAAATATTACACTCATGTCCATAAATTAAGGATAATTCAGAATCACACGGAAATCAAACTCCAAAATTAAAATTTCACCTGTAGAATTATCACACACATCCTGAAGAAGAATATGCAAATTACAGGAAACCACTAGATGACGCTGGTAGTACGTCACAACACAATGACGAGAGTGTAAGAGAGAGGTATATAAGGAATGGTGGCAAAGAAGTAAAATTGTTCACAAGCGCTTTGAAAGCCTTTCAGTGCAATAACCGCATAGTTATGGCACAAAGGAAGCATTTGGATGATTTTTTACGTGGCAGAATCATCGGACGACTGGAATGTGGACGTACCCAGCTGGAAGTATCCGAGGAACTTGGAATCACCCAGAGTGTCATCTCCAGGCTTTGGCAACGATTCCAAGATGATGGTAATGTGAGTAGACGTTACAGCACAGGTCGCCCCCGAGTTACAACGCCGAATGAAGACCGGTATTTGGCAGTTACTGCCAAAAGAAACAGACGGAGCACAGCATCAGACCTGTCTCGTCAGCTCTCTTCAGCTACCGGTACGACAGTTTCAAGGCAGACCGTGTACAGACGCTTAGGGCACATTGGTCTATATGCTCGTAGGCCTGTCAGATGTGTTCCACTTACCGCAACTCACTGTCGCCTGCGATTAGCCTGGAGTAGAGAGCATGCATTGTGGACACCGCAACAGTGGTCTTGTGTGATGTTTTCCGACGAGTCCAGGTTTAGTTTGCAGTCTGATTCTCGCCGGACTTTCATATGGAGAGCGCCAGGTACCCGTTACCACCAAGACAACACCATTGAACGACACCGTTACGGTGGTGCAGGATGGCTCGTTTGGGGAGGAATTATTCTTGGTTCCAGAACTGACCTGCATGTTCAGAGTGTAACGATGACAGGCCACATCTATAGGGATGTCATTCTGGAACAACATGTACGTTTGTTTCGGGGCGCCATGGGTGCTGAATTTCTGTTTATGGACGACAACGCCCGTCCTCACCGTGCAAACATTGTAGACGAATGCCTTCAATCGGAGGATATCACCCGTATGGATTGGCCAGCATACTCACCGGACTTGAATCCAATAGAGCATGTGTGGGATATGCTTGGCCGACGAATTGCAGCCCGTCAACCCCCTCCCACCTGTCTACCGGACTTTCGGAGGGCATTGCTTGATGAGTGGTGTAATATTCCCCAAGATCAGATTGATAATTTGATACTCAGCATGCCTAGGCTTTGTACGGCCTGTATTGCATCGTCCGGGAGACATACTCCGTATTAACCATCATACTAACCATGTTATACTGTTTTTTGTAAATAGGTTCTTCTTTGAAATTTGCTCCAGGGAGTAAAAATTGCAATTTTTATTAATTATGTCAAACATATAGCATCTTTTTTGTTCTTTACCTTTTGTTTAATACATAGACTTTACAAATAAGTCAAATTTGTTTGCCTTCTGTCTCTTTCTGTGCCTGAACTTCATTATCCTTAATTTATGGACATGAGTGTAAATGAGTCCATGAAATTAATGCCCAAACCTTGTATTTTTTAAAATCTATTTTTTAAAATACAAGGATACAATATTTTGTAGTCTAAAGAAAGCAAAATATCCTTTAGATGCAAGACAAGCTATTGTTGCTGATGCCTTTGAGGTTCTATTGGATGAAACGGACCATTTTGATCATTTTTCTACACCAAGTGCTCTTCTTTCTGTACATTCACCATTCACGCTAATTGAACCACATTTTGACGGAGTTGTTCTAGAGCCAAATAAGAAGTATAAAATACATGTTACCCTGGTAAGTTATTACTCTTTCATTTACTGATGTTACTTTTTCATGTGATAATGTACCTTTCCTTGTATACTTGTTTCGCGAGGGTACAGTACTATTCCCCTATTTTAAAAGTTTAATGATTTATGGATCCGTGAATGCAGTTTTTTAATTAAATTTTTTTTCTATAATTTCTTTGTTGCTAACTTGTCTTATTAAGTAACATACTATTCTGCAAGATTGGAAGTTGAGGAGCAATGAAATTTTGTTTTTAACTTTGGGTGTCGTATTTGATTTACACTTTTAGCTATATTTGTCTTTATAGTTGGAATAAATCTTTACTGGAAAACATAAGAGATAGGATTAAAAAAACATTCCAAGAAAGAAAAACGCTATTATAATTAAACTCAGTTCATAAAATGATATTTTAAATGTTACATATCTCCCAAGCCAATGGCATGAAGCATTGAGTATAATTCTGTAATGTAAGGATAAGTATGGTTTTTTGATGTGGTGGCTGAAAGCAGATGACTGAAAGGGTAAAAAAGCGAGCATAGAGGGTTAAAAAGAATTTTTTCAACGTTATAAGAATGTATATAACGCCTTTAATAATTTTTGATTTAATAATCGCAATTTTATGTACCAGAATTCATTCTTTATGGTGGGAAAGCGTACCTCAAAATATGCAAATTAATTTATGTAGACGATATTTTAAGCTGTGAAATCAGATACAAAAACAAATTTCAATTGGTTAAATATTTTTTTGCGACGGATTGTCCCCCAAAATAAGGGTTAGCTACAATCTGGAAAGCAGAGTTCCAATAGTTTAAGAAGGAGAGCAGTTGAAACGGAGGGCCCCTTGAAGATTATTTTATTTTTTGCATATTAAGCCATATCTTTGTAACAAATAAGGCGAATTCTGAAATTCATACGCAATTATAAAAATTACTTATTCCGCGTAAAAAATTGCTATATAAACTTGCTAAAGGTTATTCCACGTAAAAAAAATATTATTTTTAGTTTTTTTTTATTTTTTAAATTGCTAATGGTCGAGAAAGTTTAATGTTACATTCATTTAATTTATTTAGTTTTAAATGAAAAAATCTGAAATATGAAAGTG